TCTAAGTTACTACTTAATAATGAACTTCTTCTTTAATTATATCATATCATATGGGCTGATTTGTCTACCTTTAATTAAAATATTAATTTTATTACAATTTTATTATACAAAATACTATATAATATACAGTAAATTGGAAATGAGTATTAAAAAATTTTTATTTAATGTTATTATATTATAATTTGGTAAATATTTCTTTTAAATTAATATAGTTTTTAGCATTTAATATATATGTTAAAAACTTGTATCTCAACTTATCTCCAGATCCAGTGATCCAATTGGCAAGCTCTTTTTTCATTCATATAGACCAGAACAAAGGCTTTCCAAAGAGCTTAAATTTATAAAAAATGGATCAGTGGATCCCAAGATATTTGCATTTAAGCATGTTAAAAAATTCGTACCTCAACTTTAAACGTAAATATCTCCAGATCTAATGATTCAATCGGCGAGCTCTTTTTTCGCCTATAAAGTCCAGAACAAGGGCTTTCTAATGAGCCTAAAATTATAGAAAATGGATCCGTGAATCTTGATATATTTGCGTTTAAAGATGGTAATACAAACTCTGACATAAAATAATTATTGTCCGGAGTGTAGCAAAGGACTATATAAGGTCGATGACAATTAGTGTCACGTGGCAATTTCCAGTTGTTCGCACACGTCATTTCTGATTGGTCCGCACAAAATGTGTATTGAAATTTTGTGCTACATCAAAAATAAACAAGTAAAAAAGTTTATTACCTTTTTTTTTAGATTTCTGCTAGTAAGTATATTTTTCTTTTAAACGACTTTCTTATTTTTTTCCTAGGGTTATCTAGGAACACAGGTTTTTTGTACATGCCGGACTTTTAAAGGTAAATTGTGAAGGCTTTTCTTACTTGTTTAACCTTAAAGAAACGGTTCTAACGTTTCATTTATTATTATTATTTTTTTAAGGATGCCAGATTTTTTGTACAAATTGAATTTTTAAAGATATTTGGATTTTTGTACAAATCTTTCGCTCCGAACTTACAACGGTTTCCGTTTCCTAGTTTTTATTGTTTGAAAATATTTATTATGATACCATCTTTTATATGATATTTTTATTATATTTTTATAAACATTTATAGCTACTAAGGCTATATAAATTTTTATTTTACTTTATATTTTATTAAAATATACTTACTTTTTAATAATATACTAGTTGTCTATGATAACGGTTAATATGTAATTCCGGCCAGAATTAAAAGATCTGCAAAGAATTTCCTTTTTTTGGAAATTTGAGCAACACAATTTTTTAAATTTTTCTAAAAAGTAACAGAAGACAAAATTTCCTTTTTGGAAATTCGCATAACCAATAATTTACTTTTATAGAATTCTGTGTAACCCAAAATTTCAGTTTTCTGCCAGAAATAAAATTTCCTTTTTTGTCTTATGTAACATTTGTGACGAATAGGAGTAGGATTACACAATTCAAATGACTTATTTATATGTTAATCTAAACATAACGCCTACATGATTGCAGTGTTTTTTAATAGATAGATAGATGTTAAAAATTCCTATATGAGAAATGGGTTTTTTATTAGTGAAATGGGTTTTTTCACAGCTCTTTTACATTTAATAATTTAAGTTTCGCAAATGTAAATTTTTGTTAAACTTATTATTTAGTCAAGTGATTATCAATCAGATGATTTTTTGATATTACAAAACAATTTTGAGTAAAAATCAATCAACAACTCTTTTTAATACAGAGTAGACAAATCAGTCTATATGTATAATTTTTATAATCACACTATTTTTTTTCAGTTCTGAAGGGTGTGACTTGACTGTATATGATTTTTATTTTAGATCTGAAATGATCTATTTTATAAATAAAATAGAGTTCTATTTATGATTTTTTTTTTTTTTTTTTTTTTTTNCATATAATTCTTTATTAAGATTTTTATGGAAACCAGTTTTAATACAGAGTTCTATTTATAATAAATAGATATACTGTACATATATTATATTAAATATAGAAAAAAATTTTTTTTTTTTAATAATACTTTATTTTTATTAAAGTACTTAAGACACCTAAAAAAAATAATATAAAAATAAGATAAATCAAAAAAAGAATTATAGCAAAATCTCAGTACTATAAAAAGTAATTCAATAAAATTTTCATTTTAGAATAATCTAAAAATTAGTATATTTATGATTGCTTTAATTTAATTTAAATTATAATTAGATTTTAGAAATATTTACAATATTTTACAAATATACTTAAAAACTTAGAAGTTGTGACACGCCGCCCATAGGATATTAAAATAAAATATCGTATGTTGCCACCGACATGTTGAGTTCGTATAATATCTATGCTTGGTTTAAAATAAAAATTAGTTACAAAAATTACAAAACATTAATAAACCATTAATTAAAAAAAAATAATTAATGTGGCACTTTTTGCTCATAAGAAAAAGGCCAAAAGAATGTGTTAGTTTATTATTAAGGACGAACTAAAATTTTTATTTTTCCAAAAATTGAACTGCGGAATTTCCTATCGAAATCCACTTGTATTTATACATTTTTAAGAAAAATATTTCTCATATTTTCTATCTTTTCTAATAAAATTTGAAGATCTATTATCATATGTCTATCTCGTTACACTAAACTAAACTATAAATATAATTTTATCGGCTAATTATTTACCCATTGGTTAATTATTTATCCTTATTCTATTTTATTGTATTTTTCGATTATTACAAAGTATATCTTAAAAATACCTTAAAAATTTAATTTGAAAACACTAGAAATATAACAGTAATATAATATATATATATATTGTAAACATATTTTTCAAAAGTTATAAAGAATAATAAAAAATAATGAAGAAGTATTTATAGAAATATTCTTAAAATTAATATATAGTTAATTTTGCTTAATTTTAGTTAATATTATCTTATAATTTTTAATTAAACTTGGTTAGTATTTAAGCTAATATAGAAGTAATTTGAAATTAATGAATTAATAAAATTTTTTTAGTTCTTACCAGTTTTATAAAACTTTATAATAGTTTTATATTATTTAAGGTTGTTTGCCTAAACCTCTTCAAAATCTTATGATTAGTTTTAGTAGTTTTAACTTTTATAATAAATTTTATTAGATTTCACTTTTTTTTAAAGTTTTAACAACTTTTTAATAAGGTTTGCCAAAGTTTTTTTAGTAATCTTAATAGTATTACTAAATCATTATTATAGTATCCAATTAGATTTTTAAATCATATGATTTTTGAAAATTTTACTAATTGTTAATAATATTAATGGATTTTACCAAAAAAATTTGATTAATTTAAATCAGCTATAATATAATTTTAGCCTGAATTAATTTTAAATTTAGTATATATATAGATTAAATTATGAGTTTTCAAATAAATTCAGAATTACATGAAATTGATTATTAAATATTAAAATAATACACTCTAAATATTAGGTTGAAATTCCAGTATAATGTTAGTTAAATTGGCTGAAATTAATCTGCAGAATTACTATGCTACTACTTAATATAATTTTTTGGCAATTTAAGTAAAATAAAAAAGAAAAATATAGGTAAAGTTGTTTGTCAAAAATAAAAAGATTATAGCTGAAATGCTAAAAATAATTTTAATTATTTCAATATAATAAAATAATGCAACTTTAAATATAGATAAACACTTTAAACACATAGATAGTTTCTTAATAATAAAAAAGTCACAAAATTAAGAGGATTCTGAAAAATATATAAATAGGTAAGGTTCAGCCAAAAAAATTTACTATAAGCTCTAAGCATTTCTTCAGGGCCAGAACTATAATAATACTAGGTAATTTTTAAATTAGTAAATTAAATTTCTGGCCGGTATTGTTTAAAAAGAAAAGATTTACATAATTTTTTTGGCAAATTCTAAACAACTTGAGATTTTACCTATTTATATATTTTCTGGGATTCTGAATTAAACCAACATAATAATAATAAGACAGTTAGAAAAATTACTAATTATTTAAGTTTAATGTCTCAACTGTTTTTAATTAGTTGTAAAATTACAGCTATATAATAAATTATAATAATACTATTATATTAGATTATGATATAACAATTATGATTAAAACATCTAATTAGATTATGACACTAGGTTATACTATTATTATTAGATTATAACATCACCATTAAATTACATTATCATTAGATTATAAATCACTGTTGTAATCTAATCTAAGTTACTGGATTCTTTAATATAATTTTAAATACTTTGTAAAACTAAAGTAATTTGATAAAAAAATAAAATTAATAAAATAACAAATATTTAAAATATAGAGTATTTTACCATTTACTTATAAAGTACTAATAAATGGTATAAAATAAAAAAAAAAAGAAGTATTAATTGAAAGGATTTTATTTATAATATTGTTAAAATAGAATGTATTTTAAAAAATTTAATAAATTGAAGATGTAAAATAAAACCATTATTATAATCATATTTAGTTGTAAAGTAGATTATATAAAAGCAATTGCATTTATTTTAACATATTTTAGAGAAATTGCCTTGATTTAAAAGAGATAGTTAATAAAATTATAATTTAAGTAATTTAAATATAAAATATATTGCATTAATTTCCAATTTAAAATAAAACTGCTCATGTAAATGAATATTTGATGATATTCTAAATTAATATAACATATTGTTATACTCCTATGCTTTTATAATCCAAAAATCCAGTATTATAATTATTTTTTCAACATTGGCGGTCTAGCAGAACAATACTCTATTTCAATTCTATGTAATATTTTTAGCTTTTATTTCAAAAATTAATTGATCATTTAAATTATTTATAAATAATTTTATATAATTTTGGATATTATGTTTCATTTTAAATATAATATAATTAACTACATTAATTTCTATTTTTTTTTTTTTTTTAAAAAAAAAAAGGTTATCAGAATGTTTTTGAACATTTATTTTAATTAAATGTAAGATTTAAGACCCCATTTTAATAAGATGTAATTATAATTATTTAGAGTTTTTCTTGACGCGGAGATTCTAAAAAATATGTAAAAATAAATTAGCATACAAACGTATGTTTTCAAGAAATGATGATAAAAATATTTACCAGGTCCCAGTGGACGAAGAGGACGCGTATTTAATTCCGAAGAAGAATCAGGACTGGATTTGGAGTTATTGGGTGGAACAGTTCTTCCAATACCAATATGGCCATTTAATCCTGTTCTAACAACAGAATTTGTTGGACCTGCTGTCCCAACAGATGGCTCTCCACCTCTCCTCTCCATTAATAGATAATGCATTTGCATTCTTAACCCATAACAAATATTTTTTACACTTTGAATTTCTTCTTGCATTCTCATATTTTCCGTCATAATTGCGTCTAAATCCATTAGATTAAAACTTAAATTTTCAATTTCATTCTTCATATGATCGTCGTCCGATAAAATAAGTTCATGAGCTGATGAACCTGAAGGTTGTCCTTCAGAATTTGATAATATTCCTTTTGAATCTGTAAAATTTGACAACCAATTAGACATAGCAGTAACCTGATTTTCTAACAAGCTTACTGTGCTATTAAGTTCTTGAATATTTGTTTTTAATCGTTGATTCTCTTGTTCGAGAGCTTCATTACGTTGTTTATACATATTAAAAAATCCTTTCAATGGCTCATAGCTACATGAATCAATATGATCCAATAAATCAAGTTGACGACCTTCCCAAGAACAACCAAATTCCGCATGATGACAAGTAACAGGTTTTTCTGGACATTCTTCAAGATGTAAAGTATGTTCTGATTGAATACGTGTAGTATGACAAAAAGAACATTCTATATTTTTGACTGGACAGTTAGATTTGTGTCCCTTTATAAAAACGTGTATTAATTTAATTTATCTAAAATAAATAAATAACCATAAAAAGGGGGGGTGTACGAAATATTAAAATTGTGATGATTTTTTTTTAAAGAAAATTTACCTCTAAAATAGATAATTGAACTTTAGCTTCACAATTTTCACATTTAACCATTCTAGCTTTACAATTTTCCATGTGTTTTGGTAAATCTTTTTTAAAAATAATTTCTTTACATTCTTCGTTATAACATGATAATTTGGTAAATAAACATTCTTCCTTGATATGAGTAATTAACAATTGACGTTGTCCTTTATAAGGACATCCATCATTTTTATTTGGACAGTAAGTTAACAATTCATTAACCATGTTTGCAATTATTTTTGCAGCAGGTCGAAGTTCATTAACATTAGAAATATGTGATCGATCAACTGGACAAGTTGATCTTGTTGATAATGCTTGAGTAATACAATTCTTGCAAAATGTGTGACTGACAAAATGTTTAAGCGTGAATGGAATTAGTTACTTGATATATTGTTAAACAAAATACCGAAAATATAATAAATTTAATTACCCGCAAGATTCTATAACTACAGGATCAACGAAAGGTGTTTGACAGACACAACATATAAGATTGGAATTAACTGACTCTACATAAACAACAGAATTTAAATCCATTCTTATAATAAAAAAGAAAGAGGTCCAATTGATTCTATTCGAAAAAAAATAGAAAAAAATAGATTATTAATTTGAACACTGAATCCTGATTCAGAATTTCAAGTTTTATGAAAAGTGGCATCTGTATAATTCATATATTTATCTAATCATCTGTAGATCAACACTATCTTAATCATAACTACTTCACTGATCAGTCATTGGAAGATTGTTTACTATTTGTCAGTCTACAGATTGGTTTACACAATTTATTTTCAGTGATACCGAAAAAATTACGGAAAAGTCCGCGAAATGATATCTCTTGCTAGAACAAATTTTAATTCATGAATTAATTTCCAAAATAAGTTTTAAGTTTCGGAGATAACTGTCTAAGTAAATTTTCAAAATTAGAAGAATAAGAAAGGATTCAAAAAGAACCTTGTATCGAATTGATCAAAAGCAAGGATTAAATGTTGTAATTTATGAATCATTCGTTTTTTTGCTGTGAAAACCACAAGTTTCCTCATGACAAACGTCGATCAGGCTGACGTCATCAAAGAGAACACTCAAAAGAAAAAAAACCAGTCACAAATCTTGATTTATCCTAAAAAGTAAAAAAAAATAGTATATAAAAAACAAAAAGTTCTAAGTCCTAGGTAAATTATAAATATTTCCCTCCTCTTACATTTTTTCTAGTTGTTTACTTATCAAGCGTTGGAAATAATTGATCGATTCGCCAAATCGTGATAATATCCTTCGTTCTCGCGAAACTATTCGATTTTTCAAGGTTTTACAACCTTCTGGAGTCTTGTTGATAAGCAACTATCGGACATTTATCCGTTCTTTTACTATTTAGTTCCCTAAAGCAATTTTTTTTATTACATTTTTTGGTCGTTCTTTTAAATTAAATCATAATTTTGGTTTTTTGCATCTCGATCCTTATCCTTCGACCCAAAAGTGACCTACATTTTAGACCAGTACGGTGAACCTACTACGGAATCGTTTCCTGAATCAAACGACAATATGTCTTCAAAGGTAAGAACAAGAGAAAACCTGTTTTTTCATGTATTTTCTTCTTATTCATTGCAAAGTTGTTTTCACTTGGCTTTTTTTTAGATCTAACTTTATTTGGTTGTTTCAATACTCTTTACAACAACAATAGTCAAGGCAAAAGCAACCCACATTCAAAGCAGTTGCGGCTAACGATGGTATTTATAATTTAATAATCATTCTTTGTTTTATATAATCTACTCCGTTGATCACTTAAATATGATTAGATCTCAAATACAAGAGGAAATATAAAGAACTTAAGAAAAAGATCCGAGAAATGGAGGAGGTATTAATGGCATCTTTTTTTAAAAACTGTTGTCTTATCGAGCGAATTTGAAATTTTTTTTTTTTCAATTTATCAATCTAGGAAAATGAAAAACTGTCACTCAAACTAACCAGAGCAAAGAAAAATATACAGCGGTTAAAAATAGAGAGAAGGTAACAAATGGTTTATGTCAAACTATGTTTCTAATTTACTCCTTGTTTATTTTATTCTCTTTTTCCAAATTAGCTTCTTATTTGATCGGTTAGAACAATCACAACCCACTAATGAGTCTGAATCCGACACAACATCATCGCCTCCAAGAGCGATAGATTCGGAGGAGGATTTATCTTCGGTGGGTAGTGACAGCAATGATGATAATGGCTCACATGCTATATCTATGAAACAGTGACGCAATTGTTTAAAACATCGCAACCAAAATCATATTGCTTTTAAAAATGCCATAAAGTGGGGGATTGAGGAAGTTATTTATTTTTTTTTGCAATTTATTTTCGTTTACAAATTATTAAAGCGTGAGAGATACATATAATTGGTTGCTTGTTATAATATTTAATTATTCAATCCATATATTATTCGATGTATCTAACTTTGATTTCCCCCTTGCCCTTTCCCCTTACCTTTTGATGTATTTTATACTCACTTTCGAAATCTACCAATCCCTTATTTGATTCCTTTTAAAAATCCAATAAACAAAACATGGATGAATCAATATCATATATATTTTTTCAACTATCAAATTCGTATTTTGGTTTATTGGATATATTTCTATCTTTTGATAAACCAAAAAAAAAAAATATATATTATATTAATTAAAAAATTATATTATAATTCTATAATTAAATTTGTGTGTTATATGAATTTATATTCTTCCTGCGGAAATATATATTTATTTTAAAAGTCTGCGGAAGAATTGTTAGAAGATCATCGTACCGGAAAACGAAAAAAGCAAAATAGGGATCCAAACGCGCCAAAACGTCCAAGAAACGCCTTCCTAATGTATTGTAAATCTCAACGCGATCAAGCAAGAGAAGAAAATCAAAATAAAGGATTTCAAGACGTTACCAGAATTTTGAGTCAAAAATGGAAAGATTTACCGAATGAGGAAAAACAGGTTCGTGTTACATATAAAAAATTATGATTCCTTCGTATATTATATTTGTGACAAATTTAACTCGCCGTTTTTTACAAAATAACAGAAATATTATGACATGTATAACAAAGAAAAACAACGTTATGAAATAGAAATGTCTTCTTATGTTGGTACATCTTCACAATTCGGATATATTCAGCAAGATGAAGGTATACAAAATGAAGTTACCACTTACTTTGTTGAAGGTAACAACGTGTCTAATCATCATCATCATGATGATGGTGAATCGTATAGAAATGATATTAGCGGTGAAGTTAAATCCTCGCTGACAACAGTTGAAACTTCGCGGGTAGCAACAACATCAACTTTGGGATCACCGTATAATAATAATCATTCTTATGAACAATATATTAATGAGAATGAGAGAGGTATTGGATCAGAATTTGAAGAGGAAGAATTTGTTGAAACAAAAGATGATGTTAAATTAGATATCGGAGGAGATGAATATGAATCAGATACTGATAGCGAGAAGATTGATGAATTAGCAGCAGATATTAATTATAATAATAAGAGACGTCACTCAAGAGCTGAACGTGAAGAAGCGATGGAATGTGAAGATGAGGTAAGAATGGAAGATGAGGATAACGAAGGTGAAGCTGGTGATAATAAAGAAGAAAATATTGTTAATGAAACTGGAGCATCCGAAAATGATGAAATTTAATTATACAAGAATATCGATTCTTTTAGTATAAAAAAATCGCGGTATTTTTCAATAGTATATAAAATTCAATACTATTAAATCTATGTAACCTTTTTTTCTATGTAGTAACCTTTTATTAAAATATGGTTTATTATTTTTTGTTTTTTGATATTTTTGGTTTTTTTTCTAGATTCATTTTAATAAACTTCTATTATATTCAATAGAATATTGTTGTAGGATGAATCATCTTATCATCTTTAATCTAACATAATTTACGATTGAATAACTATAAATACATTTTTTTTTTTTTGATACAAATTCTATGCAGGATCTAATTTTGATTGGGTGATAATATAAATCATTTATTTACTCGTTCTTTCATAAATTAAACAAATATAGTTTAAAGAAATTAAGAAATTTTATGAATAAACAAAATGTTAAAAAAAAAAGTTTTTTAATAAATTATGTCTACCAGCTCCCTTGTTCCAGAGCGTCATGTTGCTGTAGTTGGTGGTGGACTTGTCGGTATACTCTCTGTATTATATTTTGCCAAACGTGGCTGGAGAGTGAGTCTTTTTGAACTTCGAGAAGGTAATCTTTAATTATTATCTTTTCTTACACAAAACGAAATAATCATCTTTTGTAAAATTGGTTTATCAGACCTACGTATACAAGAAAATAAAAGAAATATTTCACATAAGTCCATTAACCTAGCATTGTCCGTTCGAGGTTTAAGTGCCTTAAAAAATACTACTCTTGGTCTCGATGAAAAAGTATTAGAATCTGTAATTCCTATGAAGGGTAGAATGATTCATGCTGGTGAAGGTAAGCTCAAAAGCCAACCATATGGTGTTTTTGGAGAGGTAAGGGTTTCTTCTAAATTATTTTTTAATTTTTTGTTCAATGATATAACAATAGAATTTCTCTTATAGTGTATTTACTCGGTGGAAAGGGAAATGCTTCTCGAATTGCTTTTAAATACGGCTGCTACGTTTACGAATGTTAAAATGCATTTCCGGCATCAATTGAAACGGTGCAATTTTGATATCGGAAAATTAGAGTTTGAAAATAAGTAAGATGGTAACTTTGAGTCTCAAACCATGTTTTATATTTCATTAAATCTCATTATCTGCTTCTTTGTTCAGGGAAACTGGAAAACAAGTCGAATATTTAGCAGATTTGATTATAGGCGCAGATGGTGCATTCTCTACTGTTCGAACCCAACTAATGCGTGCTGTAAGGTAATAATAGGGTTTGTTTTATTGAATATGGAAGTTCTATTTTAACATTCAGTAAATTTCTTAAATTTAGAATGGATTATTCACAAGAATATATCTCGCATGCTTATTGTGAATTAACGATTCCGCCAAAAATTAATGACAAAGGAGATGATGATTTTGCAATGGATCCTAATCATTTGCACATCTGGCCAATGCGTTCTTTCATGATGATTGCTTTGCCTAATCGAGTTTGTTAGGATTTTAATATTATTTATTATGTTTTTTATTATTTTAACTTTGAATTTTTATTAATAATATATTTTTATTTAATATAATTTTAGAATAAGTCGTTTACGTGTACGCTCTTTATGCCATTTGAAAATTTTAATGCTATTAAGACAGAAGATGATTTGATGGAATTTTTTAAAAAGTATTTTCCGGATTCTATTCCATTAATAGGAGAAGAACGCCTCAAGGAAGAATATTTTAGAAACCCAAAGGGATCGCTTGTATCTATTAAGGTTATAAAATTTTAATATTTGTATTTAACGTGCCTCACATGACGCGCAATTTTACTTTTGATCGATAAAATTTATCATGAATACAAGAAATATCACCAGAGACTTCTTTATTATAAATTTAAATGCTATTTAATATTCAATGCTAAATAATAATTTTAACGTAATTTTTAGTGCAAACCTTATCACTATAGAGATCGGGTAATTATCATAGGAGATGCAGCTCACAGTATGGTTCCTTTTTATGGGCAAGGTATGAATTGTGGATTTCAAGACGTTGAGGTATTAAATGGTATTTTTGAAGAATACAATATATCAGCTGTGCGAAGCGATGATAAGTTGACTTTTGCGTTGGAAGAATACACAAGACGACGACATCCAGATGTGACATCAATCTGTGATTTGGCGATGTATAATTATATCGAAATGCGATCTAGTGTAGTGGACCCTTGGTATTTATTAAGAAGAAGAGTGGAAGGAACTTTATACAGGCTATTCCCTAGATATGTTATTCCATTATATACAATGGTTAGTTTTTCAACTATGAGATATTCAGAAGCGATGCAAAGATGGAAACGTCAAGGATTTTGGTTGACCATGATGGGCATGTCATTATTGCCAATAGGAACTGTAGCATTTATCTGGATTGGATATCATCAGTTTAAAAGAGTATATCCGCATTACATTAATTTCAATTTGTATTACAATAGAATTATGTAATCAGATAGTTTATGAAATATAATGCATTATGAGTTTAAGTTCTATTTTTTTTATTAAATTTCAAAATTTCAAATTTATTAAAAATTATTTTTTTTAAAAAAAAAAATTATATTTGGTGGATAAATATCAGTTTCCAAATTACCGATGTTATTTTTTGTGTTCTTGTACTCGTAATATGAAAATGGTGGTCATATCGAAGGATCGGCCCATTATTAGAAATATATCATGATCAATCAGATCGAATATATTTAATATTTTGTTCGGGGTTTTTTTATTATGCTTTTCTTTCCCAACTCTTTCTTCATCTTTCTCACTATTTTAAAAACAAACTAAATATCTATTTATACAAATTGTACAATTATAAAATAAATATGTACCGAAAGTTTACAAAAAAAAAGAATAAAATAAATTTGATTTTTTTTTTTGCTTCATGATAACACTTATATATTCGATTATAAAGAGGAACAAAGTGTGTGAAACTCGTTCCATGGCGACAGATTCTTTAAAGAGTTGGGAAAGAGTAGTTGAAGAAACGTTTGGTCTTATATTATCATGTGTGACGTAAAAATTTTCAGGTATTTGGGTCATTAATATGTTGTATTATGTTGCACCACAGAATACTGAACCATTTTTAGAAACATGTAAATTAGAAAAAACTGCAAATTCATTTCAACAGAGTGACAAAAAAATCTTTATATAACCTAATATATCATCTGACATTTTTTTATTAACATGAATAAACTAAACCAACTTTTCACTACGGACCATGATATTTTTACTTTCAATACAACTAAAGAACTAAGTTATAAAAAGAGTAAGAGAAAAGGTTTAATATTTAAGTTTATTGATTAAAAAAAAGGGGACTAAAATAAAATGCTAAAAAAAAAAATATTTTTAAACTAAATAGGGTAATGGATAGCTATCGCAGACCAAGAGATGTTGTCTTTCCTACACCTAGTCCTGTTCCAGAATATATACGCAAAGCAACTATAAGGAGAATAATACAACAACAGCAACAGGAGAGAATAGGGAGAGACAACAATACTTCTGAGAACAGTTCACAAAATAATAATAATAATAATATTGTAAACTTACAACAAGAAGAAAATGTGGACAAGACTGTTACAACAACAAAAACATCTACTATAAGTTCAGAGATTAATGGTATAGATCATAGTAAAAAGATAAATGGACACTTTAGTGCTCGAGAAATAAATAATAGTGAGAATAACCAGAAAATGTCAATAGATCATGAGGATGATGAATCTGAGAAGGAATCATCAAATTCCAATGAAAACATATCAAATAATAAGGACAATAATGAATCTACGCAGGAAATAATATCATCTTCGCAAGATCAAGAATCATCAAATAAAGAACCAATAAATCCTGAGCCACCACCCAAGCCACCGGATGATGGAAATGGAGAGTCTAGTAATAATAAAAAAGATTCTGGAAAGTCTATATTGAAAGGCCAAAATGATGATAAGGAAGAGGAAGAAGAAGAAGAAAGTAGTGATGATTCTTTACCAGATGAAGAAACTCTTGTAAATAAACTGGAGGAATTAACGGCAAAGAAAAAACAATTATGGCAACAGTTACGTGATGCGAAAGCAAAACAAGCCAAAAAGGAACAGGCTGTCACAAATAATGAATCAATAAATAATAATTTGCGAGAGTATGTAAATTTGTTTCAATTAAATTAATTTTTTTTTTTCTGAGAATATATATTATGTTAAATTATTTTATTATTAGAAATAATAATTATTTATTCCAAATTCTAACAATACGATTAATTTTATTTTTATTTATTTTTTTTTTGTAATAAAATAATTTTGTTAAATTTTCTTCTTTTTTTCTGAATAATTAGGGAAACATCGACAAATTATAATACTGGGATGCACGATCAACCGTATAGAGTAGATAGGCATAACAGTATGTTTGGTTTTTATGAGTTTTATATTTATTTTTACGACATTTTCATTTTTATTTATATCAAAAATTGAATTTTTGATTTGTATTCAAGTACAACCTCCTAGTTATATACCACCAACCCGCGATCATTATGATTCCAACTATCTATCTCCATATCATCATCATGAAGATGATTTTACCGCATTTCATCATCAATTACCATTTGGAATAAAACGTATGAATGAACAAACCCCACCGACTCTTGGGCAAATGAATAAAAGGATGCGACATCCACCAAACGGAATGCATTATGAGATGAATCATGGTACTCCTAGTATGTATGGTCTACCGCCAACTGGACCGAGTGCGATGACAGGAAACGGAATGATGGTATAATGTTAATTTTGGTTATTGTATTTTAAAATTTTTTTTTTTTAAAAAAAAAGAAAATTTTTATAGGTACATATTACTAATCCTTTTAATTTGTCTTAGGGACGAGGAAGGGATGATCCATACCCATATTATCATAGGAATGAATTCAGACCACCTCCTCCTACTGCACCATATTTAGATAGATACGGTCGTGGATCAATAAATAATATACAGCGGGTAATGTAAATTTTATTAGTTGTTAACGCCTTTATGATTTATTGAAAGTATTAAATGTATTATTTAAATAGCGATTGTCTGGAAATCCACCAAACAGACTTGCTAGACCACCTGATCGTTCACGTAGATATTAAGTATTAACATGTTAATTAGTATATATATTTAATTATTTTTTTTTTCGAATTAAAAAAAAATTTAATTCCTTTCATGTATAATTGATTTTGTGCATGTTCTTTGAATCTTTTTTATAGTTTGATTTATTTTTATTTTTAGGTCAAACATTGTATATAGTTTTGCAATATATATATATATATTTTTATATATATTTTTTTTTTAATTTTTCAGATTTTTACCAAAAAAATTCCATTTTACAATTATTTGTATTCACTTAGAAAAATATCTAATAAACTTAAATCATGAACGATTCTAAAATATCAATTCTATTTATGTTCTGCGGGAGTTCCAAAGACTGGATATTTCCGGTGTTTATTAGTGTAACCTAAATAATCGATGGTGAATTGGCGAAATCTGATTACCAGAAGTTAATCCTAATCCATTGTTATGCATAGACTAGTATATATTGGATGAAATGCAAATCCCGGTAGCGGATTACTTTACATTTGCCAAAACTATGCAATTCATAATGGAAAATCCTGAAGATAACCGTGGATATTAACGGTTGTGTTCAATTATGTGAAACTTTTTGTTGTACAAAAAACAACGTGGAAATTTTGTGCGAAAAAGAAATCTTGTGAAACAAAAAAGAAAGTTGGTGGAATATACCTTTAACAATACAGTTTTATAAATTAAAGGGTAAATCTTCAGTTCCTCCAAATATTTCTTGAAAAAGATTTTTATTTTTTTAGACAACTTATTTTCTAATACAATCTCCACAATGAATTGGTTAGGGTAAATATTAATATACCTTGCAAATAAGGTGGTTTGATTGAACATTTTATTTATTGATTTACTTATTTAATCTTTTTTTTTTTTTTTGCTTTTTTACTATATTGATGCGTTTGGAATATTATCATAGTAAAAAAAATACTCAAAGAAGTCGTACGCGAACAACTCCAATTTCACGTCCTTTATTCCTTTCAAAACCATTTATTGATGCTTCTTTGGTTGAAGGAAGTTTTAAAAAAATTGTTGTATTGCCTAAATATGTAGATGTGGACGAATGGTTAGCCGTAAACGGTAAATAAACCCATTATTTCCTTTGAGATCTGAAATCTCTTCTCGATAAAATTTAAAGTTTATAGTTATTTAAGTCAAACTAATTTTTTATTTTAGTATTCGAATTCTTTAATTATCTCAACATGTTTTATGGAACAGTCACTGATTTCTGTACACCGGTTAACTGCCCTACTATGAATACGGGCGCTGGGTAAGTCCAACAAATTTATCGAGATGAATTTTTTAAAATCAGCTGATAATTTATATTTATTTAATTTATAGTTTTGAACCTTATACTTGGACAGATCAAAATCAAAAGAAAAATAAGTTACCAGCTCCAACATACATGGATTATGTAATGACTTGGGCTCAGGATCTTATCAATAATGAAAATGTTTTCCCAACAAAAGCTGGTAAGCTGCGATTATTCTCTTCAAAAAGAAAAAAAGTAAATACGTACCATTAAATTGTCTCCTTTTCATTATAACAGGACGAGAGTTTCCTAAAGATTTTCAACAAACTGTTAAAACGATATTCAAGCAATGTTTTAGAGTTTTTGCCCATATTTACTATCAACATTATGAACAAGTATTACATTTACGTGAAGAAAAACATTTTAATTCCTTATTTGCACATTTTATTTCTTTTGCTAAAGAGTTTAATTTGTTACCTGATAAAAAAGAGTTAGCTCCTTTGGAAGAGTTAATTGCACATATGGAAAATAATGGGAGAATCAGTTAAATAAAATGAAGTTTTAACTTGGTAAGGTTGATATCAGTCATAGCTGCTAACTTACTCAATACCGATCATAGAAAATGTATGTATGTATAATTACATATATACTATTATTTATTGTTATTTTGTTATTTTTTTAATAATTTACAGTTGATTTTGTTATTTATTCTCTTGATAAAAAAAAATACATTATCTTCAACATTAGATTTTACTTTTTTTTATGGACAATTATTTCTTTAATTACTTTTGTAATAGATTTTTACGATGTGCATTTATTATGCAAATAAAAATTTTTTCATCCATTGTGATCTTAAAATAGTATGTGTAATCTTCTTTGAAAAGAATAAATTGTCGTCTAAAATCTATGTATCACAAAACCGACTTGACTTTTCAATGCATTATGTAAATCTATGCAGTAACACCCTGCCATCTTGTAAATCAAAAATTTTATCTAATTTGAAATGTTTTTTTTAGTTACTGTTGTTGACCTCGACCTTGGCCTTGTTGGGGACCTCCCGGTGGTCGCATTTGTGGTGGAGGTCTAAATCCTTGAGGTGGAGCTTGTCCTGGGACAGGGAAACTATACAGAAACAGAAATTAATTCTATATAATTAAATACATAAATCAAAATCAAAGTTAACTACTTACCCAGGAGGCATACCACTACGACCTTGGGGATATGGTGGAGGTCCACCGGGCTAACATAAAATGAGAATCACATTAATAGTTTAATTTAACCATTTTAAATGAGAAATATTTTACATACCATTCCCATTGGTGGTGGTCGCATGCCTGGTGGTGCACCACCCCTGTAATTTCCCGGTGGCATTCCTCCCATAACAGGCATTCCAGGTGGTGGACCCATTCCTCCTCTATACCCAGCTGGTGGCATACCACCCATAACAGGAGGCATACCTGGTCTAGGTGCCATACCCGGTGGCATTGCAGGAGGCATCTGTCCTGGAATTGGTGGCCGACCATACGATATTGGAGCAGCTGCAGCTGCTGGCGCACCTCCTCTTGGCTGCATCATTCCGGGAGCTGGCCCACCCACACCGCGTACAGGACCAGTTAGTCCTAAGTTTAAGAAAGAATAGTTATGTATTATAACTTAAAATTATAAATCATACATATGTAAGAATTGATAGATTGATACCCGCTGGAGCAACACCTGGTGGAGCTACTGGCAACCCTCTACCTGCTGGTCGACCTATTCCAGTACCACCTGGTAACTAATCAATTTATAGGTTAAATAAATAAATAAATCGATAAAATATTCGGTAGCTTTATTTGAGTTTAAAAATATACCTGAGCTAATTTAGTTTTCGAATCATCGGCACTTGGTGGTGGTGGACCTTCCACACTCAGACTAATAATGGTTTCTCCTCTTAGAATAACCAAACCTAATGTTCGTTTTTCTTCTTGTTCAGGTTGGCCCTGGGGAACTTTTGACCCACTTTTCGGTTTAATCTTTCTGAATTCTTCACAATCTGCCAAAACAAGATTCATATGTTTGTCAAAGGCAAGCATTTGACCCGTTAATACGCGCGAATCCGCAAGAGTTATGCGGAGTCGGTAATTTATCAGGTTTAACATTTTTGAATTCTTAGAAATCGACTATTTACATTGTATAGAAGAAAACAAAAGTCAATACAGCAATTTAGTGAACTATAATAAATTATTGATAAGATTTAATAAATCGCGAAAATACCATTTCGATTAGAACTATGAAAAAAGGTTGACACGAAATTCTTAAATTATTTCAAAAAAAGTTTTTTTAACTATAAAATCATGATAGATTATGATTGGTAGATGTTTATCTAATTACGGTAACGTAGTAATTGTCTAAAGAACACAAGATCTCCCGGATGATTGCATGTTTTTCGAGAGACAAATCAGGTTTAAATCATGACAATCGTTGAAAATTTGCCATTATATGCTAAAGTTTATTCAAAAAATAAATTTTAAATTTGTTTAGTTATTTACAGGCTCAAGTATTATATTACTTTTATTAGGAATTATGTCTATTACTTTTAAATTTATTATATCACCAATTTGACCTGTTGACTTTATAACTTTTCCTTGAATACCAAATTCGCGTATCAAAGCTGTTCTATCTCCTTTGTCAAATTCTTCAATGATAGTTCCCGTAATTTCTGGTAAATTTCCGTTAGCCTTTAATCGATCAATTAAATTAAGAATCCAAAACTTATTACTTTTCGTTTGTGATCTACGAATTTCTTTTTCGAAGTAAGTGATATAAGGTATATTATTTACTAACTCATCTTTGGAAAAAGGTAAACGACCATTAAGAAGTGATGCTTTTATTTGCCAGTGAACAACTAAATCACTATACCGACGTAAAGGAGAAGTGACTTTTGAATAACCTTCCGTAATGCCCATAGAAAAATGCGGACCAGGTTCAACAGTGGTTTTCGTAGGTTGTACCAATGATCGAATTTTAAGCATAGTAGTAATTGGAACAACTTTAATATCTTCATCAATATTTGATAATATTGATAATACTTCATCATTTTTAGGTTGAGTTCGAAATATAATTGGGATTTTTCTTTCTGAACAAAAGATTGAAGCAACTCGTCCAGCCATTATCATAAATTCTGCTACCATCATACGAGCTGGAGAATAATTAAATTTATCAAGATTAACCTGAATTGTAGGTAAACCAGTAAATATTATTGGATATTGAGTATCAGGTTGAGTCTTGTACAATGGAAAAGGTGATAATGCTGCATTTCCTTGGGTCAGAGATAGATTGAAAGATCCTTTTTGTCCACGATTTTTCAAATGAATGTTTGCAATTTTTTGCAAATCCTTAAGATCCTGTTGACCAGATAATGGAAGCGGTTTGTATTCATTGTTTGGAAGAGAAATTTTGTGCGGATGATAATGGATCTGTTTGTAGACGAAATCAATTTCCTTTTTGAATTTAGAGAAAGAATCCCATGATAAAAATTTATCAACATCATCGTAATATAATATTTTAATATTTCTAATAATGCTAGGCCTAATTTTGTATTCTAGCAAACTTGCATCATCCCCAATTCGTAAGCTGAAAGTGATTACATAATTTCCTCTCGTTTTCCCATCTACTCCCAAACTAAACATTTTCTTGCTTAAATATGATGGTAACATTGAATAATTTCGTTCAGGAAAATATACAGTTTGAACTCTTGAGTGAGCAACCTTTGCCAATTTATGACCAGGATGAATATAAGTAGATGGATCAGCAACATGAATATGCACCCATACGGATTCTGTTCCAGATGAATTATTTACTCGTTCTATTGAAATTCCATCATCAAGCTCATGAGCCGTTGGATCATCTATAGTGTAAACAGGCAAATCACCAAAATCATGTCGGATGTCTTCACAAATATCATGAGGATAAAAGTCATTTTCTCCAAGAAACTCTTCCGTTTTAATTAGTATTGATGATGCCGGTGTCGATGTAACATTTTTCGATGTATCAAATGGTTGGGAATCCAATAAATTTGTAGCCAAATTTATGATCTCTTCTTGATCTTTATCAGCTTCCTTAGATATTCCATGACCGCTCAATTTTGTTGTTTCTTCATAAACGGCTAGATTTTCCCAGGGTGCCCAAATACCAATTTCTTTCAAGAATTGAATTGCACATTCTCTGTCAAAATCTCTTTCATATAACTTCAATGGCTTCAGAATTGCTGATAAATGTGCTTCTAATCCACTTTGGCTATTCTTAGGAGTAAAGACAAAAGTTTTAACTAGGTTAATAAACATTTGATCATCGGATGTAAATTCTGGTAATGTCTCCCCTTTGGTAAATGAAGGCGGTTCTGAAATTTTTTTATCGATTGAACGTATGTATTGAATAATCTTCGTTACTTTTTCTTGAAAATCGGATACTCTCTGATCACGAAGACGAATCCATTCTAATGTTTTTATTATTGCATTAACCGATCTTTTTGATCTCAGTATGTAGGTTTCAATTTGCATAGGATCTGCCATGAAATAAATATTTTCCTTGAAAAGGAACATGTGTGTTGACAACAATTGTGCTTCAGTTGGGTTACCATTCTGAAATACGTGACGCGCTGCGCTTTTAATTGAAATCTTTCTATTTTCTAATTCATCTGCAAATTGTGAATGAAGTTGACGAAATGCAAGAGTTTTGGAATGTAAGAGGATTTGAGCCGATTTATTCAAATCTGACGCAAGCTTTCCGTAATTCTCAGGAATTGGTGAACCAAGGACGAGTTTAGAATTGTTAAATTCTTTATTATAAGCATATCCTGTAATTTTGAAGACTATATCGTCTGAACGAGTTAAAAGTAGGTGATTATTTGGAAGTAAAATTTCATTTTTATACGTAGTTGACGTTGGATCATTACTTAGTTTTGTAATAATTCCTATATAACCTCTACCATTCCTTTATAATATTCAGTAATTAAATGGTATGAAATAAATATTTTGGCAAATGATAATATAATAATCCACATTTACCTTCGCACATCTACAAAATCTCCTACTTGTAATTGTGTAGATTTAGATAATTCAACAATGTCTGATAATTCGATTTCAGGTTCCTTTATATCTGGCGTAGATTGAGTTAATTCCTTTTTTTGAAAGCGTTTAACAATTTTATGTTTTGATACTTCAGAAGACTTTAGTATTTGCACATCTTTACTTTAATATAAATAAACAAATAGATTAAAATCATTTTGCTATTAAATACACAATAAAAATATATACCTTTTTTCTTCTTTAGTAACTTTCAAAGGAACTTTCTGCCGAGATATTTTTTTTGGTTTAGAAGTTTCGGGAACTGACTTTGTTTTCCAATGATATTTTTTATAAGGAAAACGTGAGCTTGACCAGATTTTAAAGTGATAATTTTCACGTATAAAGGAACTGATAAAGACTGGATTGGTTCGTTGCCTTTGAGTTAATTTAAAAGTTTCTTTTGTTATTGATAACATTTTATCATACATTATTAAAAGCTATCGTAAGATTATCATAGATTTACAAACTAAAGCACATGTTATATGACTATTGTAGCACAAATGAGGCAAAATTGGTGGCTCAGACGCTCAGTATAAAAATGCATTAAATGGTGATCGCAACTCACAAGAATAATAGTAATTACGATATTATAACTTATCTTCAATCTCCATTGACATAAAATTAGACACAATGTCCGATCAAGAGTTAGAATCTAACAATTCCAGTGCTAACACTAGAAGACTGTATTATTGCCATCAATGTCGGAGAAGAGTAGAGGCTTTAATGGCCCCATCTCCAACTTGTCCTCACTGCAATGGCGGTTTTGTAGAAGAAGTGAGTAATTTCATAACAATTAATTCAGATACGACTGTATCGTCTAATGCACTTGAAGTACTATATTTGAGCTTATAAATTATGTGTTGTTAGTTCTGATTTTATTAATTTATTAAATTAGCTTGGAGAAAATGATGATCTAAATATTGAGAATGCTGGAGGACAGGATTCTGATGATGAATTTGATGAGACAATTCATTTAAATACTCAAAATGGGCAAGATTTTGTACAGCAACTCCTTCAAATGTTTTCGATTCAACCTGGGCCTAATGTCCGAGTGCAAACGGAAAGTCGGGATGGTACAACAACTATAACAGCTACAACAACTACAGGAGTAAGAACAACTACAACAGCGACAGAAGGAGGAGCTTCTGAACAACAAGGTGAAGGTCTTCAAGATGGAAATCAGCAGCAGCAGCATACACATCGTCCAAATATTATCTTTGCAATGGGTAGTAATGCACCGAACGCTGGTGAAGATCGTACACCTCCATTTTTAAATATTGCACAGTAAGTTTTTTATTCGTGTAAAAATCCTCTTTTACTTAACTGTGTTTTTTTTTATTTATATCATTACTCCTATAAAAATGTCTGTCGGTTATAATTTTATTAACCAATGATTTTCATGTCAGAGTGTTCCAGAGGATATTAGAAAATGGTGGCGGAACAAACAATACAGCAAATTTCTTGAATTTCTTTAATATTGCAGGTGATCCAAGAGATTATGCATGGGGTAATACAGGATGGGACAATATCATTACACAATTAATGGAACAACAAGCTGGGTACGTTAATTAGCGATTTTTTAAGTATAAGTAATGTTAATTTAATCAAGTGCTATTAAAAAATTTACATTTTGTTTGAATTTCGAATGAAACTTTCGGAAAAATTTAACAAAATAATAGAAGACAAGCTCCACCACCAGCTACAGATGAAATAATTGAAAATTTACCAAAGTTGAAGATTACAAAAAAGCAAGTCGGTTAGTGTTTGCATGGGTTCCTTTTGATCGATAATGGAGATTATAATTCTCAAATGTTCAAAATTTCGATAATGGTATATATTTCTTACACTTTGATGAATGAACGTATTCTTCCATAAAAAGTGGAAGAACAATTGGGATGTCCAGTTTGTAAAGATGAATTTCAAATAGACGAAGAAGCGGTATACCTGCCTTGCACTCATACTTTTCATTACGATTGTATAAAACCGTGGTTAAAAATGAACGGAACCTGTCCTGTTTGGTACGTTATTACTGTATCCAATTAATGATTTTTATTCATAATAACTGCGGAGTTTAACGTTCTTTTAATTTTTGAATAGTCGATATTCACTAGTTAGCCAGGAAAGCAATGAACAGAACGCGCATAATAATAATAATGGTGCTGGTTCATCGAGTAACAATAACAACAATAATAATAATTTCAGGTCAACCCCAACTTTTATATTCAATTCCAATTCTTCCTTACCTGGGACTTATCCAGGAAATCAACAAAATAATGGCCAACAGAACCAAGATGAAGATTTTATGGAATTGGATCATGATCTTGATTAATAACGGTTGGTAGGAAGTATTACCAATTTTGAATTTAGTCGGAAGGACTTTTTTGTAATTATGTTTTTTTGTCTTTATTTCTTTTTTGATTTCATACTTATGTAAACCATCCATAAAAAATATTTCCTTCAATAAATAGTAGACTATATTATGCAATTTTTTTTTATTTTCTTGCAATTATTTATATATTGAATGTGTAATAGACAATGTATTTTTTCTTTTAACTCAAGTAAGCATTTATTATTATAAACTTTTTATATTACTGAATTCATATAAAAAATATGAATAATAATAACGCAATTTTTTTCTTAGATAATTAATGAGAAAAGAAATATATATTTACTGTAATTAAATAAAGTAATAAAAAAATTTATTGATTTTGATTACTACAATTCAAATTTTAAATATTTTTTTGCACGTAATAATCAACTTCGTATTTTGTTGGCAAGATTTGAAAATCCGAATCAAGTAGAGTATGAAAGAAAAAAAAATTAAACCTGATTGTTTATTAATAAAGTTATTAAGAAAATATCACAACTTACCTGTTTACACATGATATCTGGCACAAAATTCTTTAATACGTTGATAAGCTTCATTCAATTTCTCAGCTGGAGCTGTGGTTACTATACGAACTAATGAAATGTTTTAAGAACATTTAGGGATCCTCAGTTTAATTGCGTTATCCAATTGAAATAACTTACCATAATTAGGATAATGAAAACTCTAGAAATTTTATAATTTGATTATTAACACAATTTAAACCGTTTCCTTCCTTTTTGTAAAACTTACTTACCTTTCCCGGTAAACATAAAACTGACTCTTCTTGTACCAATTTCTCACTGAATTCTATATCATTGTTAATATCTTTAAATTCTTCTATATTAATTCCGACCATCATATACATGGCACCTTGAGGCACAATAACATGTAACCCAGGGATTTTCCCCAAAACATTGGCACTTAGTTTTGCGTTTTCTTCTAATAACTTGTCGGTTTCATCATGAAATGATTGAGGCGTATTCATTATAATATCAGGTAGAGCATTTTGAATTAATGAATTAGCTCCAAGTATTAAATTTGCTAAGGAAGCTAAACCTGATCGTACTTCATTTAATATATTGTTATAATCATATATGAAAATCCACCCAACTCTCCAACCCGGAATTAAGTACCTTTTTGCTAATCCGCTAATTTTTAATATTGGAACTGTTTTAGTTAAATTTGCTAAAGGATAAAATATATTATCTCCATATACCATATCTTCATAAATTTCATCACATATTACTGGAAGTTTGTAAATTTCACATAATGATAATATTGATTCTAAATGTTGGCGAGTAAAATTAGATCCACATGGATTAGAAGGATTGTTTATAAGTAAGCAAGCCGTTTTGTCATCGATTAAAGATGATAAATGATCTAAATCCGTTTCCCAATTACGGTCAGGCTATAATATAATACAAGACCATTTATTCATTATATAAGGAACTTGTTAAATTAATTAAAAAATCAAAATATGAATATCTACCAATAAATTATAATAACGACATTCAATTCCCTTTGATTCTGAAAGAGTCTGATAAAGCGAAAATCCGGGCCTTGGAAGAAGAATATTTTGTCCTTCGTTACATAATACGCTTATCGCAAGACTCAACGCATCCGAAGCTCCACTCGCTAAAACAATGTCCTAATATAATAAAAAAAGTTTGAATCGAACATTTTTAACAGTAATTTTAGCGGATCATGAAAACTTGATCACCTCCGAAGTTAATGGAGCTTCTTTTGTTGAAAATTTTTTCGCGAGAGCAATCCTCGCACTTTCAACTCCTAAAGAGAAAAGTTAAAATAGGAGAATTTATAAATGAGTAAAAATGTAACTTACCAACTGATGGCACGTATCCATTCGCTTTATAAGATTTCAACTGAGTTATTACAGCATCGATGCAATTTTCGTGAATTTTAAAATTTCCATAATGTGTAGGATCACCTGTCATCCAAAATCGATTTTATTAATTTTAGTTTCAGTTGATTTCATGAATTAAAAGATAATTTACCTAGTGCCAATGAAATATACTCTTTCTCAGGATTTGGAGTAACATTCATATTATAAACTATTTCACGAATAGGATTCTTTGTACGTTTGGCAACAATTGAGGCAGGAACACGCCATTCCTTCATACGAGACAATTTATTGTTTACATTATTATGAGAAAAATTTTGCACGGTAGACATAGTTATGAAAAAAAAATTCTTGATTTGTGTCACTATCGCAGTCTTCCTTTTTATCTACATGGAGCTTTTTTTTGCCGTTACACTAGATCTTTGATCTAAAAAAATTCACTTTTCCCAGAAAAAAAAAAAAATAAATAAATAAAAATTAAAAAACTAAAATTAAAGAAATAAAATTAACTTCTAAAAAAAACGAAACGTGAGTTACTAACATTTTATATTCTTACACTTCACAACGTTCAACCTTTAATCTTATTATCTGTTTATAATAGGTTAACACAATGTCAAGTCTTTTACCAAAACCAAATTCAAATTTGGAATTTGACGAAGCAACACAAAAAGAATTAGGAAAGTTTTTGGAAAGTGAAAATGCACGCATGAGATTACAACAATCAATTCATACATTCACGGACTTATGTTGGGATAAATGCATTAATAAGATTAGTAATAAAATTGATCGTGGCGAGGAAACTTGTTTAACTAATTGTGTTGAAAGATTTTTAGATACTAGTTTGTTTATTGTTAAACGTTTAGAAGAAACTAGAAAAAATTTAAGTTGATAGAAGATACTACATATAGAAATAAATATGTTATTGAAGGTTGGGTAATGGAGTTGCAATTTTAAAGAAATAAATTTATCACTTGTAGTTTTCTCCCAAAGAATACTGTTAACGAGATTAGCCTGGTATTTTTTAGTAAAAACTAAAATGGTTGATATAACTTATGTCTCGTATTTGTTCGCTTGCCAATATTTATTTAGCTTTAGAATAAATTTCACATTTTTGAGTTGAAATCCACTCTTGAAAACGTAGCGTATCATAAATGTCAGCCATGAACGGAACTTTCACAAACCCTTGTGCGAAATGTAAAACTAAATAAAAGGCCGATTTTTATGTTGCGCATTGTATCTCCAACCTTTATGAGGAGTACGTAGTTCATCTATAACACCAGGAGGAAGTGGAGGATCCAAATTTATATCCCAGGTTAATTCTCTAGCAATCTCCGCTGATGTATCGAAAGATGACTCTAAAAAAACCATAATTCGGTTTAAATAAATTCATAATTCACATAAGAATCATAAGTTCCTTCGTGATTTTCTTACTTTCTCGTTCTCGTTCCTTTGGTTTTTGAGGAAAAGGTATGATTATTTTAGTTCCAGCAATTACACGTCTCCATCTCATTGTTCCATTCCCATCAATATCAACCTTCTTCCATTCGGATCGAACAGCCCTCTTTTCACTACTTGGTCTACTTTCACTAAAAAGAGGTTACATATTAAAATTTCTTACAAAAGAAAATAAATTCAAAATACTTACTCATCGGTATCATCAGGATGTACATGCATAACATTTGAAACATGTATTGGTTTAAGAACAGAAGCCAACCACCAGCCACCAGTTTTATCTTGATTTTCAGGATTAATTTTACTAGGATTTAATTTAGGTACAGTCATTCTGCCCATATTAACATTTTCAATCCACAATCTATTACTTAATTTATCAATACTCTTAACTTTTCCGACTTCATTTTTTGCTTTACCAGCTATTACTTTAACTAAATCTCCCTCAAAAATCTTCCATCTTACGATCCGATCTTTTGGATGTACCCATTTTTGTGGTCTATTAAATTTCCTCATAATTGCATTTCCATCTTTGAATTTTGACCAATTTTGTCTTAACATATGAACGGGACCTTTTTGCATTCTTGATGACATTTTGATAAATCGAGAGAAGAAACAGTATGTTAGATGAAAGGATGAAGATCTTATCAGTCACTTGATTAAATAGATCAACATCTGTAATATAACATGATTTTTGATTTTTATCATACTATTTTTTCCCACGAATAGGGTGCATAATTTATAACCTTTTTCACAAATGTATCGTTTCTTTACTCTTTTTCTCTCTAAAAATGGGTTCGCGTCTAGTCGATTTATTAGTTTGCGATTTTGACGAGACTATAACACAGAATGATACAATTTGTGAAATAGCTAACTTAGCTTATGAAAAAAGAGCAGAAACGGGAAAATGTCCAAAACCGCCAAATTGTCCAACTCTTTTCTCAAATGATAGTGACGAAGAATGTCCACCACCTTGGTTACATTTCGTCGAATTATATTTTAAAGAATATAAAGAACATATTAAACATTGGTGTGAACAACATTCTGAAGATACTCTTCAAGATCATTTTAAGATGTTAGAATCATTAAAAATGGTTGAAAACAAATCAATTGATAGAATTGAAAAATATGGATGTTTAAAAGGGGTTTGTTATGATGATTTGATTGAAAAAGGAACATCAGTAAAGAAAAGAGATGATGTATTAAATGTATTAAGAAAATTTATTTCTAAAAAACAACAGAATTGTGAAAATTTTCTTTTAAAAGAACCTCATTCAACTTTTAATGATGATGTGAAATCCCATATTGAAAGAAATTTGTATATTATTTCAACGAATTGGTCAAAAGATTTAATATTAGGGAGTTTATTTGAATTAGCATCTGAAAATAAATTTAATAAGAATAACATTTTTTCTAATGATTTAATTTATGACAATAATTGTTCTGTTGGAAAATTAGATCGTAAAGTTTTATGTGCGCTTGATAAACTTGAAATATTTGATCAATTAAATACTTCAAAAAGTAATTTGTCCGTTTATATTGGTGATTCAAATACTGATTTACCATGTTTACGTGAGTATAATAGTATACTTTAAAGCCGAATTCAACACATGAATTTTTTAATTAAGACATGTTTTAATACTAATGCATGAATTTTATTTATAGTACAAGCTAATATTGGGATTATAATGGGGAATAATAGAACTCTTACGAAATATTGTGATAAATATAAAATTGAAATCGTGGAAGGATTAACAGATTTTAGACGTTATAATATTGATGATATGTGTAACGAAAGTGATCAAAAAAATGGAAAGTTATATAGAATACAAAATTGGAAGGAAATTTCTGATAGTGGTTTACTAGATTGAAAATAGCTTTTGTAATTATCAATGTGGTTATTTATGATTTATTTATTTTTTCGTACTTATTAGTTAATAAGATTATATTTACATATTGAATAAATATTCATTTAAACTATTAACTCAGCCTTTGATTATTCTATATATTATTGGTTTTAGGGTATGTGAAAAAATTTTTTAACTAAAAATTAAACGTGGCCTTTTTTAGTAGTATTAAAGAAGGTTTTAACCACAAAAACTTGAACAGCTGCCATTCCAACAATTAACATACTTTCAAGTAAAGCAAACCAGAAAATTCTATTTTCGGTACTCTTAACAGTTGAAAAATTTCTATTTTCTCTTGTTCTAAAATACTTTTGAGTTCTAGAAACAGTACTTAAACTACTGCTAAGTCTTATAAGACTTTCTTCCATACTGCTCGTATGTTCAGGTTGAATACCTTTAGATGGCGGTAATTCTGCTCTTGGTTCATTTTCAATAGAAATTTCAAAATCAACAAGTTTTTCTGCAAATGTTGACATATCATTTGCAAAACAAAATGAATATTCCCCAACATAATTTGCTGTAAAAATATAATCTCCTTGTCTCTCCCGTTCACCATTTAATACTATCCTATTACGTGGATCGGTTACCACATAATCAATATCAAAAGACCCACCAGATTGAACCTAATTAATTGATTAAGTAATTAATTAACAAGTCTTTTATTTTATAACTTTAGGCACATCTGTAAAACTTACTGCAAAATAAAAAGCAACTTTTTCGCCAGGTTTATCGGCCCAAGCGTAAAAACACGCTCTTTCATGAGCAGCAACATTATATGTTAAAGATGTTCCCTCTGAAGTCCTGAGGAGTAACAAAATAAGTAAAATAAATAATAAAGACGAAGTTGACTTCTTCATTGTTCAAAATTGGAAAAACTTTTGTTTAACCTGTGTTTAAAATTTTTTCGAATTTTTGGACTTCAAATTCTAATGGACGAATTTAGTGCAACACTGAATGGCCAATAAAAGATTGACACATTGAAGTTAATTAAATTAATTCATTATGATCAAAGACATCATCTTCAAGGCAAGTCTCAAAGATTCCATGAAGTCTAAATTTTAGTTATAATCTATACGGCGAGAGATTGGTATGAAACTCATATTAAAGGAAAAAATTGGGAATGCGCGAATATTCTGGATAATACAGGTGCAGCTACCATCGCTGCTATCGATGGTTTAAGATTTTCACGTGAAATTCACGTGATATTTGGCCTGAATTATAAATTAGCCAGCATTAAAATATAACAAATTTCCAATAAAATGTGGCTAGCCAAAATAACAAATTTCCGATAAGCAACAGAATAGGACCCGCTTATAAGATAGGTCACCCAAGCCTAAACTAAATTTCTTTGCAGATCTTACTATAAAAGGAAATTTAATGTTACATTATTATGATTTTTTTTTCCTTTTTAGCTAATTAACCAATATAATTTTTTTAAAAAAAGTAAAAGTAAAAACATTAATAAAGGGCCAAGTGACCTTTATTGTAAGTAAGTGGTCCTAACAGAACTATTATATGGTATATTTAAAAATATAACTACTGCTAATAGGTATGTATTTAAAGGATGTAATTAAAAATAGTCATATTGCAGTATAAATTGTATAAATTATGTATAGTAAACAGCTTACATAAATTATTTCTTATATTAAAATAAAATAATTATTAGTTTGATCATATAAATATCAGAAGATCTTATTTTATAACTCAATAGATTTAGGCTTCCATACTAATTGTATTATCAAATTTTTTTTAAAAAAAATTCTATTATTGAATACAAATATAAATTTAATGTTAAATGAAAATCAAATCAAAAAAGTGAATGTTTTTTAAAATGCTGCCATAACTCTCATATCTTCAATTTTCTTTTGAATTTCTGCCGGAGTTCTATCTAATTCATCGGCAATCATTCTTTTCTTTTCCATAGGTAATAAATTATATTGTTCACATAAATCACCATCTACCACACTTTTAACAGGTGCATAAAAACTACGATATTGTAGATGATCACGTCCTGCTAATGGAGGTGCTTCATTTCTCATATGCATTTCAAGTGTTTGGAAAAAATCAATATCTTCTCTAGTTAAAAATGGAACAAATACTCCAATATTACCCATAATGCCAGTATATACAAGAATTTCACGTCCTCCCGCAACAAGAGTTGTTCGATGAATTGATGTGAGAATATCACCAACATGGTAATGTGATATCATTGATACCTTTCATATTTAATAAATTAGATATAGTTAATAAAGTCATATTTTAATAAGTTTTTTAATACAAAAAGATCTGCTTACCTTATGAGGGGCACCCATTAAATATCCTTTTTCATACATTATTTTATTTCCAGTAGGATCCTCATCAACCTCTTCACTTGTCTCTGATGGAAGTCGATCAATAAAAAAATTTCCAAATTTATCACCACCAGCTAATGTATCATAATCTATCATTGTAGTGGTCGTAATCCATCGTGGAGTAGTATCATCGGCAAAAATGATAATTCTATTATCATGTTGCCTATATGATGCATAATGTATTGACTCTTGCATATCACAAACAATTATGCGATTGCCTTGCGTATGTAAATTCACTATACAATTTGGGATTGCCTATCATAAAGAATGAAATTAATTGACTTATTCATGAGAGATATAAAATTATATATACGTTTTTTTTTTCTTTTCAAACCTTTGTTTCACATTTTCGTAACAATTTTCTTTTTCCTATATCATATATTCTCAATGCTTTGCCAACACCAGCTAAAAGCTTTCCTTGGAAGGGTAATAACGCTAGTGGAATATCATCACATTGAGTCTATGTAATAAAATAAGGTTAAAAATATTTTTATATTAATGAATTATTACGATTTAAATTGTTACCTTATGAAGAAGGTTTAGGTCATTCCCATCTTCATTAAATTGATATACATATAAATATCCTGATGAACATGTACGGGGTGCCAGATTTGCATCTTTTGCAGTTCCCACAACAAGGAACAACTCATTATTATGACTATGGAAATTAACCATTGTGATGCTAAAATAAATGTACACCATTAGTAAAAATAAAAAAAAGAAAGTAGTACTATCAAAAGAATATGTGCATTTTTTACCTAAATGCAGCTTCATTTTCTTCAAACTCAATTTTTGACGTAGTATCGCCTAAGAATGGATTGATGATACGAATACATGAAGCCCATTTTCCAGGTTCGGCTTTAGGTAATCCGAATACTTCTGGTGATAAATCCAGTAAACTCGGATCAAATCTCTTTCCTTCACTAATCTTTGCATCTAAAGTTCTTTGTTTTTCCATCGGAGAATAAGTATTATGTTCACTCTCAATCACAACAAAATTTCTTGAAGGTGGATGAAGAACAAAGTGACGTGGTGTATAACTAAGTTGTATTATAGCCTGATTAAATACTGTTCCTAGTTTTTCAACGGCAAAAATCCTCAATGTATTTGCCGAAATAGCTACGATCCCTTCAGGTACTTGAGGCGAAGTAAAGTTGGAACCATATTCAAGCATATCATATGAAAGAGGTGTTAAATGTAACCGAGATTGAAAAGTATAACTTAACCAAGGTCTACTTGAAAGAGCTAAGACTGCTGGAGCCCCTTGTATTGTAACCCGGAAAAGTTTTACAGGACGAGCACCGAGAAATCTAAAAGAAGGATAATGATTATAATAATATGATAAAATATCAAAGTATTTAACTATTAATACGTTTATGAAGTAGCTCACCTCTGTCGTGTGTCTGTCAATGAACCAGTTATGGTATCTAGCATAGTTCTCAATAAAACACCATTTTGTAATCCTATGTTAAGGTATAATGTTCCATGAGATGCGTCAGTACCAATATCCATCATCTCAATAATAGATAAAGATTGTGGAGGAGCACTAAGACCCTAGGAGAGTGGCGACATCAAAATTGATATTCGAAAAAAGAAAAAGAAAGCAAAAAATGACAATAAACTTTTATTATGACTTACCTGAGTACTAAGTACTTCTAATGTATTGTCAGGATCAAGGGAAAGAATCCTTACAGCATTATCATCACAACCTACAGCCTATTTTAAGAAAAAAAATTGTCTGTATATTAAAAAAAATGAAACGAAATACAACCAAATGATCTATGAATATACTTTACCAAAAATCTTGATCTTTGTCTTCCTTCGGGTACTTCACCAACACTTAAACATGTTACATTAGATGACATTTCTTTACGTTCTTGATATTCATTTAATTGACCTTGATTGTCTAATTCAAAGTATACAAGCTCGCCTCCAGTTAGTGCTATCACAACCTGACGTTTATTTGTTGCTGCCTTTACGATCGCTCTATTCCCAGGGGTTTTCCATTCATTAACACGACGATCAGCACGAATATGTCGAATGCCTTGTGGATATATCTTCAAATTTACAGTACGTGTTAATTACAATAATAAAAATTATTTCAACACATTTAGCATAATGATAAAAAACCTGTAGTAAAGCATCATCACCAAGTTGATGTACGTCTAATGTAGGTGTTGTGGCAAGAAAACCAGTATCAGTTACTTCTTCTACTGTCTCGCCAATAGATAACACAAGTGTAGCATTTACAAACGATACTATAATATAAGCATCAAATTCATCTATATTTTGTAAAATCAATAAATTGTTAATAATTCAACGTATATTCGTGAGCATACTATACGACTATCATACCATCTGACTTTAATTTTGTTGTCCATACTGCATTAGGATTTCCTGGTAATTCAGAAACGGCCATTTCAGAAATTTCTAGACCATGTCTTAAAATACGAAATGTTGACCCAGCACCTCTTCCACACAAAGCATATAATTGGGGTGTATCATCATCCGTGAGATTTAGGACCTAAATTAATCAATATATAAATATATCAATAACAGGGAATATTAGTAGCTTGAGGAAAAGAAAATAATTTTTAAATTACTTTAGCATCGATTAATGGATTTAAACTCTCCAATTCATCAGCCCGTTCCAAGTTTTGAAGGTCACGCGGTGTAAAATATGCTGAAATATCAGTATCGGAATCCATAAACTCATCGCTAGACCATTCAGGTTCATCATTATCATCACCAAGACTTGTGAATGAATAGAGTCGACTAATGTACGCAAATAAACAATTATTAACGATTATTGTTGTATAAAATAAAAACTACATAAGAACAAGACGAAATCAAATAAAGATCAACAGTAAACAGGTCAACATACTGATTTCCGAATTCCGCAGCTACAAACAAAAAACCAGCTCTAAGTATACATAATGATGCCGCGACAGGCACGGTATCAAAATATTTAATTTTAATTGCATTCACCTTATCATCCTCGTAATCAAGTGTAACTTTATATATATCACCTTCTTCACTTTGTAATAAAAAGAAGAATACACCTTTCATTTTATGCATAACACCTGCTACAATAATTAATCCACGTGAAGGATCCTCAAGAGGATTTCTGCGACGTGGTATAGGTACTCGAAGTTCAGGTACACGTTGATGCTTATATGTTATAAAATTCTCCGAACAAACTAACACTCCTGATGGACCATCATTTCCACCGGGAACTAAAAAAGATTTATGATTAATGGAAAGCTCAACTTTTTAAACCACAAGAATATAATAATAGTTACCTGGAAAAAGTAAATTTGCTCGAGCGTCAACAGGATCACTCCATTTTCTCACTACATGATTTAGACCAAGATCTAATTCATAATATGTTAGCATCTAAAAATTTGTATATAAAAATCAACATAATGTTAACGTATAAGTATAGTAAATAAAATAATCTAAAAATATGATATTTATTCGGTTAAATGATAAATTTTGTAGTGTACGTATTAACGTTACACAAACGCGAGAAGTCATGTGACATTACCTTTTCAGTACTATTGAACGCATCGCCTGATGGATCCATATCAGCATCAGAATAATCTACTTCTAGGCACGCAAATACAGGATTTTCGTATCCAACATCTAAGCCTATACAATGGTGAACTAATGTATGCGACTTATGGGCCTCCAGTGGTGAAGATATTGTCAAATTAGCCGCCGAGTCACGGTTAAGGATATAAACCAATTTTTGTTTTTCAATAGCACCTTAATGTAATATATAGTAAATTAGCTTTCAGTAAATTCATAAGCAACTCAATAAATAAACTGATAATTACCTATCATAACAGATCTGCCTTTTGGATCTACTGCTAAATATTGACCAGGAACAATTCTTCTGCATCCTGATTTACCAAAAGTTTCTTGATGAACTTTTTCGAATTTATTTTTTACAATATTGTATTCTAAAATGACTATACGCCCTGAATCTGAACCGACTATAATATAATCTGGTTTGTAGGTGATGGATAACAGATATCATTACAGTTAATTAAAATTTCCCAATAACTTATTAACTTTGTTTCTCGAAAACATAACATCTTCACCTTTTGAACCTCCTGTTAACCTAAATGGCGTCAACGATCTTATTATTCCAAAAGCATCGTGAGTTAAAAGCGTTTGTAATTTACCCGAATTTGGATCAGCTTTTAATAGTTCCAAACGAGTTACTCTGGAAATAACGATTTCTTGTTGTTTTGTACCTGAAAAATGGCCAACCACAGCAACATTTATGGTAGTTGGAGGTTGTAAAGTTAAATTATAAAGAAACATTTTTTTTTTATTTGCACCAGAATTTGGTAGAAATCTCACCGGTTCCCAAAATTTTAATAAGATTTACACAGATCTCAGATCCGAGTCAGATGACTTCGCATTTAGAGGAGATTTGATTGGTTGACATCTTATCACATGATTTTAATTGAGACAGTATAAATGCAAACTAAGAACACTGAAGCGAACACTGATCTGTTTTATCAATTATAGTTCGATAGTTCGCAATGGACAATAGTGCTGTGAAAATCGCACGATCTTCGCCTAGACCGAAAGTTTTTCTTAACAATAAGTCTTCCACCGAAGATAAAGATAATATGAAACAGCAACAGCCGAATATCAAATCAGAAAAATGGGAACGTTTTCAAGAATTAAAAAGAAGGCGAGAAGAATTTGAAAGTAAATCTAATAAAAAGAAGAGGAAAACAAGCAGTTTTATAACAACTCGTAAGTTTTTATTATATGTCCAACTTTTTAATTAGAATTTTTAACACAAGCTCCTCATTTTTATTAGAAGTTGAACCGTCATCGACACAACAAAAACATACTAAGATAAAGCGAAAAATAAAAACATTTGATATAGCAGACCCTTCAACACTCCCAAAAAGTATAGCAAATTATTTACGTATGAACGAACATTTGAAAGGTGTTGATCATGGTCGTTTATCGACAAAAACTCGATTAGAAAAAGAACTTGATAAGGCTGTTGAAAATGGAGACTTAGAATTAGCTTCAAAATTGAGCGACCAAATTGCACAAAATAATTATGAAACAATGGTTAACAAAGCAATAGAAAGAAAAGAATTTGATGAAGTGAAAAAGGTAATTTTATTTATTTATTTTAGAGGAAGGATGTATTATTAAGTTCAAATAACTTTATTTAGAGGGAAGAAGAAAGGAAGGCTAATAAGAAAAAACCTAAGTTATATTGGGGGTATGTATTTTATTACGTAAAATAAAATGTTATCAATAATTAATATTTAAATTCTGACCATTTTTATTATAGATTCGAAACAAAACATAGATGGGAGACAAAGAGTAATATGTAACACCAAAGAGAATTGAAAATGAATCCGTTGTATGTATTAGTATATACAAAAATAGATGTGTGATTATATTATTTTATACGTAACAATATCTTGTAATAATTTATGGGCGAAAATAACTGTTTAACTAATATAATCGTAAATCATAAGTGTGAAAAATGGATTTTATTTGATAAATAACATACTATAATGATGCCGCGTTCCTAATAGTCGTCTGTGATTTTCCTTATTGTTATTTTTATGAATGATATTTAGTTAAAGGATAAGCTGAAAGTCTATCGATAGCTAAAATTTGTATATCAGGACGTGGTATAGACCAGTTATTTCACGAATTCATCGGCTTCACCGTGATGATCAATTCTAGCGAAATTAAAAGAAATTTAATCCGGATGAAAAACTAGATAAAACCGCTACGGATCGAAGCATTACTGAGAATAAAACTCTGACCCTCTTTATGTTCGGCTGCAGAGTTATGTGGAGCTTAGGGTTAGGTTGGGGTTAGTATGTTAGTTATCACAATCGTCACACCCTTCTATGTTGGTTCCTACGCGAGTAATAATAACCCAAACATTTTTTTTTTTGTTTCATAATCATATATCGTACATATCCCTTAAACTGTAGGGGTTAAAATTAATTTTAAAAATTTTTGAATTTTTAAAATATCTTAAGATCTAGTGATCATAAAAAGATGAAATTATATTTGTTAGATTCCTCTTATTAAGGCGCATTTAATGGTAATAAAATCATAACTCTAAAATTGATAAATAAAAAGTTATAATAATTTATAAATTTTTATATTTTCTAAGTTATCCTGTCACATAATATTTGTAGAAGGACAATTTTATTTCTATCTCAAATGGTGGTAATTTTATTTAGGGTTAATGGATAAAAAGATATTTCAATTTAAAAAATTTAGCTACTATTTGTTATAATTTGTCGATCATTTACTTTTAAAAAATCATTAATTAAATTGAACTTTTTTTTCAATTTTTACTTAGAAAATACTATAGAATTTATTACAAAAATATTGGTTTATATAATAAAATATTTTAAGGTATTTAAAAGTGTCTTTAATTAAAAAATAAAATTGCAGGCAAATTTGGCTGCAAAACAGTTTAAGGGATAATATATATATAATGTTACTTCATATTAGTCATTCATATCTTTAATAATTATTGATTTATAGAAATAAAAAACAGTTTGTGCAATCACATAAGCATAATTCAAATAACTATTATATATTTATTTTAAATCCGCAGTGAAGTACAGTCGCCACTGGTGTTTTGGTTCAGTATATAGTAAACCAATTACGTTGATTTCGGCACCATTATCTATAGCAAAATCCACGCAGTCTTTCAAAAAGATGCAGAGTCGAATAAGATTATTGCAGTTTTTATAAACATTAGTTTTTTGAGACGAAGGGCTGACAAAATCTCCGCAGAAAGCCAATCAATTGCACGATCACGTGAATCTATATTTGCTTTTTTAATTTTTTAATGGATCCAGTTCAATTTTTTGCGTTGGCACGAATTCTTCATGAATTTGTTCGAGTAAGGTCGATCCGAAAAGATCGATCATGAGTGGTGAATGTGAATTAGGGGAGATCAGTAAAGTTGATGGCAAGGGCCAGTATTTCGTAAACATTTGATTCAATAAGTAAGCCCTCTTTCCTTGCAAGCTTCAACGACTGATTATGATAGTTTCGGAACAGCGAGGACACATTAATTTCTCCTATATACAGTCAAAGCTCGTTATAGTGAACTTTCCGTTCCACTATGTAATTTTTTCCCTTTTTTTCACTATAACGAGATTTATTAAGAAAATTCACTATATCGAGAGAAATTAATTATAAGAAAAAAAATCAATAGGTCACTATAACGCGATTTTACTTAATGTTCACTATAGCGAGATTCACTATAACGAGCTTTGACTGTAGATATCACCAGCTGAATTTTTATCTTCGAAGGTTAATCCACGTGGAATATCGTCAATTGACAGGATGATACCTTTCCTCCAGGAAAGGATTATTATCAATATCAATATCAATATGTATTTTGTTTTGACGTTCAGCGACACTAGGAAGTTCAGCTATCAAATCTTTTGCCATTGTGTTACGTGATGGTGTAGTGTATCCATCAGACTGGTGATACTGTTCATCATCCGATGGCACTAAAGTTAATTTATTATCGTTGTTGACATTCTCAAATGGTTGTTGTTCATCTTGAGTTTCATCTGAGACATAATGTTCAATTTTTGTACGTTTTGTTTTCTGTTAATGATCACTCTAAGTATTAAAATACAGGATGATAAGTTTCTGCTGATTCTCTAATTTCTATCATAAATAAAAAAATGTGAGTATGTTATACCTCCTTTTGATCTTCCTCTTTGTCTCTTTTTGACACATTAAAAAAAGATCCGCCGTGAATACTTCCAGTATTGCCCATTAAGGGGTTTCCTGTAAAGGTTGGATTATGATTTATGAAGGGTCCAGCAATATCTTTTTCACACATTTTCTTCCATTCTCTTGACACCCGATAATCGGGCCGTTCACCCTGATCAAAAGACAAAATAATTGGCTAAATTCTTAAATAATGTTCCTAGTTTCTACCCGATTCCATTGCTTTTTTATTAAAAATTCATTTATAAAGATCGGCTTATGCGGAATGTGCCGTTTTAACCGTCACCGTTCGCGTTCGCGTTGTTTATATTTATCTCAGCAACTTTTTTTTTCTTGAGTGGTCTGATGCTTATTCGTCACCCCCTGTAAGTGTTTGCAAATGTTGTCTGCGCCCTAAACTAGTTTCGTGGCTCGAGACAGAGAGCGTTGAAGGTCCTGCCACGCCATCAATTCATTGGTTTAAAATAAAAAAGCTCTTGTACAGTTTTACTTATCTTCTTATATCGATCGTGAAGAGATCGTGCTCGTTTACATCTTTCAGTATCTTTATCAGAATCCATTATAGTCTCAAGGGACGTAAGATAACAACCTATCTTATCTCTGAATGATTCATTAAGGAAGTCTGTGATATTCCAGTTGCCATGTTCACACTCGAAATATTTATGCGATAAAAAAAACTAAGGTCCCTAGTTGAATCATACGGTGTTTGCAAGGTATAACAGAAACAACGCAGAAAGAAACTTACTGAAATTGTGAAATGACAGATTCACCACGTGATTGTCTATTGTTACTTTTAGGGATACGATAATCGTCCCAAAATCTATGTCATTTATTTTTGTCATTACGAACTTTTTTATAAAACAATGAGCACAGCTTCAAACTTTTCAGATAATGAAAGTAACTTTAGTGATCTTGATCAATTTGAAAACCAGGAGGAAAGTATTAATGCAATTTCCGAAACTATTGCAGGTCTACTTGAGCAGGTAAGAATTTGTCTCCTTTTTTTTGAGAGTAAAGTTTTTTTTTTAAAATATTTTATTTTTCTTTTCTTTTTTTCCTAGCTTTCCAACAATGTGTATCAATATGAGGTACATGTTCAGTATATTCAAACTCTTCGTAAATCAGCATTATTTGACGAGTTAAAAGAAGCACGAGAAATGATGCATAGTATTTTCCCTTTATCTGAAGGTATTTTGAAGGTTTAGCTGTTTCTATGTTTTTGGAATTCATATAAAATTTTACCCGTTTTTTGCTAACTAAATTACCACTTCTTATTTTGAAAGAAATGTGGCATGAATGGATCGAAGATGAATCACGTATAGCTTCCACAAAAGAAGAAAAGCAGAGAGTTATACAACTATATTCCAAAGCTGTTCAAGATTACCTATGTAGGTCATTTATTTTGCCATCTTTCTCTGGATTTCAATTTATAAGGCGATTTATTTATTTTACGTGTTTATTCGTACTTATTCATACTAGCGATTAATCTTTGGAAGGAATATGTAAGCTATATAGTTCAAGAATACAAAAACGGCCTGAATGAAATGGAATTGGAAAATGAATCTGAATGCACTATCACGTTAGATCAGGTCCGCAAAATCTTTGATGAGGCAAATCGGGAAACTTGTTACTATATAACAGAGGTAAGTCATTTTTATAAAGATTTAATATCACAAAACGTTTACTTAAATTATTCTTTTTAATTAGAGCCACCAAATATGGGATGCATATAAAGATTTCGAAGTAGAAATTCTGGAGGTTGTAATTTGATTTAAATCATATTTTACTTTTATTTGATAGAATTAATATTAAATTTTATTTGACAACAGGCCTCACCCCGGTAAATATAGTTAAAACATAATATTGTAAATTGCATGTTATTTTATCTCACAAGAATTAATATTAGAGACGAACAACAAAATATCAGAGTAAAAAAAATGTATGAGAGTCGACTCAAAATCCCACATGCGAGTAAATATATGTTTATATAGCATCAGTTTTTTTTTTATATCTATTAATTGTCATTTATCTTTACGTAGCTGTGGATAAGACGTTTAGCGATTATTCGTCATTTATAACAAAATATGATAATTTTAATTATGAGAACGTCATGATAGAGACAAATAAATATGTTAGTGAAACCAAGGGCAAATATTATGAAAGAGATCAATACGAAAACGCATTGGTATGTAATAATTTACAATACTTTCGTTACGAATTTTGCATGTATTGAAATTTATTCTTTCAACACATTAGACAGCATCAAATAACCCGTTGGACAAATTCATGGATTATATTGATTTTGAAAAGAAACAGAAGAAACCAGTTGTGAATGCAATTCGTACTTTATATGAGAGAGCAATTGCTAATTATTATTTTGATAATACTCTTTGGGAAAATTATATGTTATTTTTACTTGAAAAGTATTTAATAGATAAGAAGGTTTCTATTAGCATTCTTATAAAAACAGCTGAGCGAAGTGTTCGCAACTGTCCTTGGTCGGGAGATCTTTGGGGTCATTATATAAGGATTTTGGAAAAAAACTTTAGTTCTCCTGAAGAAATTGTAAATATATATAATAGAGCATTGTCAATCGGTATGCTAAAGAATAATATTGATGATCTAATAAAGGTCATCATTTCTAATGTTGATTATGAAAGGAGGAAAATTCTAGCTTATAAAGGACCAATAAGTCAAGAAAATGGTTCTAGTCTTGTAAATCTTCTAGAAGAAGGAATAAAATTAGTCAAAGAGAGTAAGTTATTTATCAATTGTTGTCATTTGTATGAAAAATTTTTTTCTTACATTTCTTTTATATAGCTTTTCAAATTGATGATCCTTATTACCGGTTAGAAAAGTATTTGATCGAAATAGAGGTAAATTATTTTGGAAAATTTATTTGAATTTAAATATAATGATCATTAAAGAGTATCATTGAAACTATATTTAAAATATTTTAGACTTTAATCAAAAATCTATCCAAAGCGCGACAAATTTGGAATGAATTATGTAAAAACCATCGAAACGAATCTGAATTTTGGATTAGATATGCAGATTGGGAAAAGTATGTGTTTTGGCTTATATTAATTCAATTGTAGTTTTAATAATTTATTTTAATATATATTAGAGCCGTCGGAAATCTTGATGATGTTCGCAAGGTTTACAAAAGAGCTTCACAACAAAATACCGACTGGCCCGAACGCATATTTGACGCATGGGAACATTTTGAACATCAATACGGAACAGTTGATAATTTTGAACTCGCTATAATATTCATAAAAAAACAAATGACAATTGTTGCTCAAAGACGTGAAAGAGTAAGTATTAATACCCTGCAATGAATTCTTTTACAAGTATGGAATATTTTCTATTAATATTATAATTAATTATAGGCTGCCTTGGAAGAGGCCAAGAATGCTCAAAGCGAAGGATTATCTCAGGTTGTTCCAGCGATGCAAGTTGCTGAAGATAATAAATCCTTAGAGGCGATCGACTCTATATCTTCTGAACAATATTCTGATACAAAAAAAAGAAAACCCGAAGATGAGCAACAAATGGAAGAACTCCCAGTAGCAAAAAGGAATAAAGGTTGGTTAAATAAATAAGTCAAAGAAATTTTTTTTTCATATGATATTAAATTAATTCAATATTAGCCCAACAATTTGAAAAACCTAAACGGTAAGTGTTTTTATTTATTTATTATTTATTTATTATTTAATACTAATTTTAATTAATATACATAACAGAGATCGAGAATTTGCAACGATAATTGTTTCTAATTTGCCTTTTGATGTTAAAGAAGGGGAATTAAAAACCATTTTCCATGAAGTATATTATTAAGTTTTATTAATCAGTAATATTATATTTTAATATTAACATATCTTACTTTATGATTAAAAAATATTATAGTGCGGAAAAATTAAGGAGATTCGTTTTCTAGTGGATACAGTTAACGCACAGAAAACTGCTTATATCGAATTTAATGAAAAAGTAATGCGATTATATAATTTTCTATTTCTAATATTTAATAACTAAGAATAATGACATATTCTTCTATAGGAAAGCGTTCCCGCAGCTTTAACTAAAGATAAGAAAAGAATTGGTGATCAAGAGATTTGTGTGTATAGAATATCAGAACGTATATTATACGTTACCAATTTTCCACCATCTATAGATATAGAAGAACTTTTTAAAAAGGTATTTTTGTATGATATAAATCTTTAAACTATTTACAGAATTTATTAATTCTACCTGCTATAGTATGGAGAAATACTCTCTGTAAGAAAGCCAAGTACTAAACACAAAACAAACCGAGTTTTCTGTTACGTTGAATTTAAAGAAAGGGTATTTAATATTAGTAAATTCATTATTTAATATATGAAAAAACTAATAATATTTTATTCTATAATATAGAATTCCGCACAAGCTGCTCTTGAAATGAATGGTCGCGAATTAGAACCTGGAAAAAAAATTGTAGTCATGATATCAAACCCATTATTAAAGAAAGAACGATCGGCACCAATGTAAGTTTAGGATTCTAATTTTATTTTACCTGGATTGTTTATTTATTCATTTATATATTTCATAACTCTTAGTCAGACGGAAGTTTATGTTCGAAATTTGCCTAGCAATGTTGAACAAAATGAACTAAAATCCCTGTTTCAAACAGTAATATTTATATATATATATATAGTTATACTGGCTTTTAGTTTCTTTAATTATATTTACTTTCTTTTTTTTATAGTATGGCCCAGTAACGTTCGTTAGAATTCCCATGACGAATGATAACAAATGTAAAGGGTTTGCATTTGTAGAATTTGAAAACAAGGTAATTTCTGCTTATTGATTTAATTATAATTTATTTAACTAATATATATATATATCTTTTAGGCGCATGCGAAAGCATCTCTCGCTTTAAATTCTACGGAATTTAAAGGATGTGTTTTAAACGTTACACTTAGTGAAATTAATCGTAATCAAATTCAAAAAGAAGGTAAAATCAATGAGCGTGAGAAAAATAAAATATCTAAACGTAGACAGGAGGGATTTAAGGAAAGGTATGACAAAAACCTCTATTAATAATTTCAATTTACAATAGTGTTTATTTAAACAAACTATCATACTACTTTAGCGAAAAACGATCAAAAACTGTTGCTTTTACTAAGTTACCCAAGGATACTACAGAAGAGAGTATTAGAAATATGTTATCTCAAAAATTTAAGGTAAAATAAACCATCATATTTATAATTGCATTAATTATGCATTTAATAATATTTTTTTATTTTGTCAGGATGAAGCAATTAGCAAAATTACTATGTCTCATGATAGATGCGCCTACGTTGAATTTGAACATATTGAGGTAAATGAGATACTTAACTAAAACTGAATTTAATTGCTTATTTATTTAAGATTTGCTTTTTTCTTTTATTTATTAGGATGCGGGAAAGGCAGCATTACATTTTAATAAGTATAAATTAGAGAACACAATTATTTCTGCAGTAATTAGAAGTGATTTACCTTCAACTCTTGCGGAATTGGCTGTTCAAAGGTCTTTATAGAATTTTGTGATTCGCAATAATTTATATTTTCTATAATTACCTTTTACCTTTTTTTTAGGGATGATAAACCTGCAAAAATGACCATGGTTCCAAGAAGACTAATCGCACCTTCTAGTAAACTTGGTACAAAAAGGGGACCTGGAAAAATTGGTATCGGTAGTTCTTCAAAAAAAGGGCAATTGGTCAAATCTACCAAGGATTCAAATTCATTTACTGAAAATCAAGATGATGAAACAAAAGATGAGAATAATTCAAAGAAGTCAAATGATTATTTTAGAAACATTTTTTACAATTCTTCTAATTCTTAATGAATTGCATTAATAAACCAATTTTAATTTCTTATTGTATTATAATTGAAAATTGAAATTATTTAATTGTTTAACTGAATTCTTGATATTATATTTATTTTAACAAAGAGGAGAACTAGTTAAAAAATTTTAACTTAAAATAATAATTCTTAATTAAATAAGGTGTTATTATTTTATATTTTACATATTGTATTCTTGTATTTTAATAAAATAAATTCAACAAGTTTTTATGATTTGATATTTTTAATTATATTAAATATTAATTTTGATTTTTTATAAAGTAATTATATTTACTATATATTTTATTTAATTATTTAATTAAACAACTTATTAGCAATTCTAAATATCTAAATATACTACAGTACTATATTTATATGTAGTCTGTAATTCTATAATTCAAATAGAAAAATTATGCAATACAAAAAAGAAATTCATTTAAACATTTATTAAAAAATCAACATTAGCATTAAAAATTTACAACTTATATTATTATTAAATACATATTTATAAATACAAATATATATATATTTAGTTAATTTTAGTAATAATTTATAAAATAAAATATAATATACAGTCAAACCTCTATATAATCATACTTAGTCACATCACATAAAATTCCTCTATATAATCACATCCTTGAGAAATACCAACATATATAATTATTATATAAAAAAACCTTTATATAATCACATCATAGTAAAAGCCTCTATATAGTCACCAATTTTTATAGAACTGATTAAGTAACTATATAAAGGTCAGATTGTATTATTACCTACTAAAGCTAATGATAATTATTATTACTGGTAATTTTTACCAGAATCCCAAAGATTACTAAAACAAACCAAATCTTACGTAACCAAAATTTTAAAATGTGATATCTCAGTCAATATTGCATCTAAAAAAATGAATTATATCAAAATGTTCATCTTGTTGAGATAAATCTAACAAGTTAAAGATCAATTACTGAATTCTGAGATAGCAAAATTTAAGGCTAAAATCTATATATAACTTTATACATTTGAAACAAAAATTAATTATAAAGTTTATATAAATTCAAATCTGAATTTTTTAGTAATCTTCAGAATCCTTTTTTACCAACTAGAAGTAAGCAGTGTTCTGGTAGGCCACCAAAACTTGCAGAAAGAGATATAAGGCATATTGTAAAAATCATTAAGGAAGATAGACAACAATCTTTAGATGAAATAACAAAAAAATTTAATGATGATTTACCAAGTCCAGTATGTAATAGTACTATAAAGCATATTTTACATTCTGAAGGGTATTTTGGTAGGGCAGGAAAAAAAAAACCATTTGTTTCTGAGGCTAATTGTAAAAAAAGGTTAGATTGGTACTGTGAAAGAAAAGAATGGGATACTGAATGGAATTTCATTATATGGAGTGATGAATCTCACTTCTTATTATTTCAGAATGATGCACACCACTAGATCTAGCGTAAACCACATGAAAAATATGATGTTAATTGCTTGATTCTGACTGTAAAATCTGGAAGTCAAGGAGTTATGATATGGGGTGTTTCGCAAAAAATCAACTTGATCCTTTAATTTAAGTTTCTGGAAATATTACAGGTTTAGTATATATTAACATATTAGAAAATCATCTTCTACCCTTTTATAATAATTTAGAAAACAATTTGCAATATTTTTTTTAAGATAACAATGCGCCAGTTCATAGAGCAAGAACAGTTTCACAATGGAAAGAAGATAATTCAGTATCAACTATTCCATGGCAGCATAGCCTGCACAGAGTCTAAATCTTAATTCGATTAAACATTTATAGGATGTTTTGAAAAGAAAAGTTCAGACACATAAACCTCATCTAAAAAATATTAGAGAATTAATGGTAGTTTTAGAAGAGAAATGGAATAACATTGAGCCCGAAATTTTAATTAATTTGGTTGATAGCTTCACAAAGGTTTCACAAATGTGTCCATCCCATATTCGCAGCAAATCATGTGACTTGATGACGATAAAAAAAAAAAGGTCACTCTTGGATCTTCTGAGATTAAACACTACAAATTCACGTTGCAAAGTAAGGTCATCAATTACTGGTGCTAGTGACTCTGATTCTTTTGTATATAGGCAGATGATTCTCTTAGTATCTATAAGGCTTCCATGAACTCCATGCAGGGAGATGTAGTTAACATTTTCTCAAATAGCTTTAGGAATGGCAAAAAATCTTTGGACTACTTCCCTGTTTATACATATGACTATTTTTGTCTCTTTTTGTAACTTGTGCAAGCCTACAAGTTTCCAGATAAATTAGATTCCAGTACTCATTTATTAAGTTCAGTTTTTTAGTAACTCTTTTTTTTTTTTTTCTTTCAATATGCCAAGAAGGGTTCAAGCTATTTTAAATAGCCATGGTAATCCAACTAGATATTAATAAAAAATTTGAGTTTTTCTAAATAAAATGATATAAATTTTTTATAATGTTTATAAATAAATTGTTGAGAAATTAACTGTCAAAATATGTATTTTAATTTCGCAAAGTTAAAGTGATCAGATACTTTTTACCGGAAAGTGTATATTATTTGTATAAGATTTTCTACATTTTGAGTATCTGATATGTGTAAAATATGTGTAAAATATATGTAAAATAAATTATTTCTTTACCAGTATATAATAAACTTATTTATACTAAAACCTTATTATAATAAATTAAAATTTTTATAATTTTATTAAATATAATAAATTTATTTTTCTATATATCAGTTATATAATAATATTATACTCATTATAATAAATGAACATGTGATTATATAGTAATTTAATCTAAATTTATCAGTATTAATAATTTTTTTAAATATTTATAAAATTATAGTTTAGATCAGTATTATAAATTTGGTTCAAATTATTCAAAACAAAAAACTAGTTTAGTATATTATATAATAAATTTACTTTATATTAAAACTTTGAACAGTTCAGGTTAAAATGAAAACTGATCTGAAACTGGCTCAAAATTTGGTTCAGTTCAGTTTAAATCTTAGAACTGAAAAACTGGCAGTTTGATTTAGTTTAATCTAATTTTCATAAAAATATGAAAAATTGAATAGCTAACCATTGAATAATTGTAAAAGTCAAGTTATATATTATTAGATTTATTTTACTAAGATATATTGAATAGTGGTAAGATCACATTTCTAGTATTAATAGATAGTTTTCTAATGCCCAATTTTTTATAAATTATTTAATATAAATTAACTTGTGATTTAACAATACTAGAGATATAATCTTATCACATTCAACACATCTTATTGAAAGAAATCTAACAATATATAGTTCAACTTTGTATGATCATTCAATAGTTAGTTGTTTAATTTTTTGCATTTTTATAAAAATTAGAATAAATCAAATTGAATCATCAGTTTTTTAGTTTAGTTCTTATAGATTTCAGTTTTAATCTGAACTATCTACAGTGCATATAACTTAGTCCCAACAAAAAAATTTTTAAGCGGCCAAATTTTTTATATTATGTAATACTTAACCCTGTAATTTTATTGGTCAGATTTATTTAATTTAAGTTATAATTCTTAATTCTAGCCAGAATTATATATAATTTTAGTAATTTTGACCAGATTTACATGTAATTCTGGTCAGAATAAAATGGCCAAATATTTAATTCAATAGTAAAATATTTCAACTTTGAATTGCTACTACTTTATTAAAAAATACTTTACAGGAAATTTAAAAACATAGTTTTATTAAGCTAAATCTGGTTTATCATTGTAAGTTTATACTTTATGTTTATCTTTTTTTTTGAATGAATAGTAGTGATTTAAATTTCATCAAATTTAATTGCTGGGACTAAGTTGTACGCACTGTATAATCCAGACTAAACTGATCCGTTTAAAGCTTTATTTTATACTAAATAAAATTTCCAAAGTAGAGTTTTTATTATATTTAAAATTAAATATATTAAAAAAAAGTATAGTATAATTGATAATAAATAAATAATGATTATTAGGATCCTAGAAAATATATAAATAGGTAAGATTTAGCCAAAAAAATTTTACTATGAGCTCTAAATATTTCTTCAGAGCCAGAACAGGAATTTGAGATTTGCAAATCAAAAATTATTGAATTGAATTAAACCAAATTTGAATTGAATCTGAATCGATTCAATTTGACTGAATCGTTTGCAGAACACTAATATTCTTGTATTATTTATCCATATCACATGATTTTTCTAATATTTAGAGTTACAATGCTTTAAGGAATTACCTATTTATTTTATAAAAAGAGGAATATTTTTTTTTTTTTTAAAAAAAAACCCTATTATTTCCAATTTCTTATAAAATAAATAAAACTAATATAATAAATAAAGTATTAGAAAAATAAATTACCTTAAACAATTATTAAATTGGTATAATAAAAATATTTGTTTAACAAAACTTTCAGTATAATAAAGCTTTCATTTGAAATTAAGATATTTAAATATTCATTTGTTAAATCTTATGAAATTAGATATTCAAATATGCCAGTATCATGTAGATTCAAATATATGCTCATACAAGTCTAAGTTGTATATAAAATTTTCTGATATTCTAGAGGGGTGTTAAAATCTACCTTATGGTAATATAAACTAAGTATAATCCCAAAGAAGTTAGATCTAGATTGCATTCAAAAGCCAAGTTAACACTTTTCTACACCAGAATTTTTCATGATTTTTGACATGCAGAACGATACTCTATAGTCTTTTATTGGGACAAAATGAGGTTAAACTTTAATGATTAAGGTTAGACTTTGCATCTGAAAGTAGACTTTACATTCATTTTTCTTTTTAAGTATCATTTTAAGGCATTCCTGGTATATATCAAAAATAAGTCATGCAGGAGCTCTATAGTCTTATTATTGGAAGGTTAGTTTATATTTTTAATTGCCTATTTAAGAGTAAGATCTAAGGAAACTTAAATACTCATCAATTTCTTACTATATTATAAGTTAATTTATTTGTTTTTCTATTATTGCATTATTCTAATAAGTATATTCTAGATGCTATATCACCAACAATCCAATCCATTCCACGAAGCAAATTTTCACCTGTAACTGCACTACAGGCTTGAATAGCCCAATGATGTGTTATGATAGAATCAAGTTCAAGACCCTAAAGACCAAATAAAGTTAACAACTTGTTTGAAAAAAATTAACCAGATTAATTTTACTATACCTCGCGAATTTGTTTATCAGTTAAAGCTCCTGGAAGATCCTGTTTGTTAGCAAAAACCAACAATGAAGCTCCCGCTAAACGCTACAATTCATTCAGAAAAAAAAATGATTTTCATGAATATTTACGTAGTTATACTTTAAATAAATAATTGCTAGCTTACTTCTTCTAATAATAATGTTTTTAATTCAACTTTTGTATCTTCCAATCTCATCCTATCGGCACTATCTACAACCCAAATCACGCCATCAGTTTGTTCAAAATAATTGCGCCAATAAGTTCTAATAGATTTTTGTCCACCAACATCAAATACATGTAACTTGTACCTAAATTGCATACAAAATTATTGAGCATTTTTTTACTAGATAATTTACGAAAAAAGACAATTACCCGTTATGTTCTAATGTTTTAATATTGAAACCTAAAGTAGGTGAAATTTTATCAATATCCTCACCATTTAACCGTTTTAATATGGTGGTTTTACCAGCATTGTCTAAACCACTATAAAATAAACAAGATATTAAAATGCTTGATAAAATTAAAGGCTTAAATACTTTATGGTTTCGCTCACAGTACTAGTAATCTCATCTCCTTTTCTTTTTGACGAATTTTTCGTAAAATCGATAATAGCCCCATCTTGAATACTATTTTAATGATATAGAAACTCAAATAAAAAGGAAAATTCGACCGATAATTTTATTATTAAATTAGTTCTGAAGTCGTGATTAAAAAACTGCGGAACAAACAAAATATCGATCATCTACCATTTTACAATAACAAGTGCGCAGTCGTAAATAAACACCGAAACATATAAAAGCGAGTTCGTTGATTATGAATCATTTCGAATTCTTTTTTTCTTTTTTTTTAAAAAGTTGTTTCAACCTCTACGTAAAGAAAAAAATTTTGACATATACCAATGAGTCTCCGAAGATCAGCACGTATCGCTAATAAGAATAGGCCCAATGAGAGTGTTGAGCAACTTGTTGAGACTTCAAAAAGAAAAGCAAAAGCAAAAAAAAGTGTTGAAATCACTGCTGTGCCACCTTCTGGAAAAAGCACCTCAATTGATAACATTAGTAATTTTGTCGAAGAAGAAATGACGGGTGTACTTATAACTCCTGTCGAAACGTTTATTGATAAGGGAAAGACAAAAGATAATTTTTTATCATTAGTCGATAATACTTCTATTAATAAAGGCAAGTCAAAGGAAATTTTTCAACATTCCGATGGCTCTAAAAGCATTTTTGAGCCCATTGACTCTTTCTGGTTGCGAAAAAGAAAATCAGCGATTAAACACAATGAGTCGAGTGATATTGAGTCTCTGGAGAACCAAGAATTTCAAGATAATCCAGTTCATTATATAAATGAAGATAATGATAGTGATGATTGGGAAGAAATAGACCTTTCTACATGTCAAGGTATAGCATAATTCAAGTCAAACAAATTGCTAATATTAAGAAAATATTTTTGATGCAATTTCTTTCGTTTTTAGATCAACTTGATGATCTTTCTGAGTCTAAGCCACTCCCGAATAAAACTATTCAAATTACTTTTGAGAAGCCTAAGATACAATACAAGTATTGTATTTTAGCTTTTCCAAATAATATTTATTTATTATGATTATGTATTTTACATAATTTTCTTTGTCAGAAATTAATATTGTGAAATAATTTAATTATATCAGAGCTCGAGGTATCACTAAAATTGAGCGAGCTATTCGACAAAATGTACACAAAGCCCACTTGTTAGCCCTACTCGCCCATGGTATGATTAGGAATAAATGGTGTAATGATGAAATGACACAGGCACTTATCGTTCATTTTGAGTACTGAGTATTTTGGACCATTTTATCTTATCAGAGGAAGTTTATACTTATTTGATATTTTTATAGGCAATAGCACTCTCTTTAATTGAGTATGACCTACAAGCGCTTTTTGACAAGGCTTTGGTAAAAGTTGACGTCAAACACGCTAACATACTAATTATAGCCTTACAAGATTTGTGTAAATGGTGGAAGAATTATTTTGTAATTACAAAACCTGGAATTCGAAATAGAGCATATCATGAATTTGGAGAGAACAATGAGGGGAAGATTGCCGAGGTATTAATCAATTTTTAATTGCTTTTATTTTTTGTTCATTACTAACAAAATTATTTAAATTAGGATGATGAATCATTTTCTGATTGTTTAACATCTATCAATGTATTTCGGAGGAGTATTAGTGTTGGTGAAGGAAGTCGTGATACTTCTGCACAGTTATTTGTTGCTGTGTTACGTTCCTTAGGAATACCTGCACGATTAGTATGTTCTTTACAAGCAGTATCATTTAAATTAGCACGTAAAAACGAGGCATATACTACTCGGAAAAAGGATAATGATTTAGATTACAAGGGTTCAACAAGTAGTAGCATGAATGATGAAGCCCAGAGAACACTTGGACTTGGAAAATATAAACTTGGTGCAAAAGGGAAGAATCGTAGTAGCAGTAAATCAAAGAGAGAGCAAAGTGATGACGACGATGATTATAGTTCTCCATCTAAACAATCTCGTGTTGATCGCTTGCGTAAGTCATGTAGTGTATTAAAAAACAGTCTTAAGAAAGATAATAGTAATGGTAAGTACTGATATTAATATTTATCCGCATGTCTTTGATATATTTTAACTTTTCAGTATGTTCAAGGCTTGCAAAATTCAAATGCGCCGCCAATATTCTGGTGTGAGGTTTATTTTGCAGCTTATAAAAAATGGTTTTGTATAGATCCAGTTCGTGCATTGGTGAATTCACCACAAGCAATGGAACCTGCGTCTAATGACATGGATAATGTTATGGCTTACATAGTTGCATTTGAACAAGGTAATTCAGTTACTTTGACTATATTACTGAACTGAAACTAATAAATAATGAAATAGATGGTTATATAAAAGATGTGACGCGTCGATATGCTTCACAATGGGGAGCACGGACGCGAAAATTAAGAGTGCCTGTCACCAAGGACGGTTATGATTGGTGGCATGAAACATTGTCTTATTTCGCACGTCCGTATGAAAGGGTATTTATTATTTTTTATATTCCGTAATATTTAACAATTATTAAATTTTGTTCTATTATTAACATAGAAACAAGATAATGAAGAAGATGCTCATTTACATAAATTGGAAGTTTCTGAACGTATGCCAACTTCTATTAGTGCTTTCCACAACCATCCTTTGTATGTAAGATACGTGCTTAGTATGTAATAATTATTTACTCTAATAATAAAATATCTGTAATATTATATTAATTAGGTATGCTCTTGAACGTCATTTGAAGAAGTTTGAAATAATTCATCCAAAGCAACCAATAATAGGGAATATTCGTGGTGAACCAATATATCCACGCAAGAATGTTAAACAAGTATGCTACTAATGAGATAAATTTTGTTTTGGAGGATTATTATACTTAAGTCCTTTTCTTTCTAGTTACATACAGCTGAAACTTGGTTAAGAGAAGGTCGACAAGTTATGGTAAAAAAAAAATATTTTATATATTTTCTTTCATAAATTTTTAACTTAACTAATTGCTTCTTATTTCTTAGATAGGTGAACAACCTTTAAAGCACGTGAAATCGCGTATATATACTTTGGCAAAACGTCGTGCAGCAAATATGGCTTCATTATATGACGAAGAGCCCCCCGAGTCTGGTTTATATGGCGAATGGCAAACCGAAGAATATATACCTGAACCGATAATTGACGTAAGTTACGATTGTTTCCCTGAATAATTTTTCAATTATATAAATATTGATAATTTGTTGATGACGGTTAAATAGGGTAAGGTACCAAAGAACTCTTATGGTAATGTAAATATGTTTAAGGAAAGCATGTGTCCAATTGGAGGTGTGCATATTCCAAGTAAGTTAATATTTTGCATTTATATATTTGTTATATATTCTTGAATATAATTTGAACTTTGTTTTTAAGTTAATGGAATTGGAAAAATTGCAAAGAAATTTGGTGTCGACTACGGAGATGCTGTGGTTAGTTTATGATTGTATTTTGTGAATCGGTGAACTTTATTTGTCTATTAAAAGCTTAAAATATTTATCTTCTTAGGTTGGCTTTGATTTCCAAGCTCGTCGATGTGTTCCAGTAATTCATGGAATTGTAGTTGCGAAGGAACATGAAACAATGTTACTTGAGGTAAGTCTTATTGAGGAATTATCATTGAACCTATTATTATTTTAATTTTTTTGTCGTGGGCAGGCATGGCATGAATATGCAAGTCACGTTGAAGCAATGAATGATGCAAAGCGAGAAAGAGAAGTTTTGACAAGATGGAGGAGACTAATTATGGGAGTGCAAATTCGAATGAGATTATATAATGATTATGTAAAACAGGATTCATCTGATATGGAAGAAGGAGAAAGTGAATTTTACCATGGTGAATCGGAAGGAGAGAGTGAATTGTATCACGGCGATACTGAAGAAGAAGATAATAATTATTTGGTCAACGTTGTCAACAAGAGTGGATCGAATAAACTACATGAAACTATTGGGGAAAAGACCATTATTGAAAGTAACAACGATAAATCCAATACTAATTTTTCAGATAATATGGATATTGAAGATGATTTTGTACGAATAGAAGAGAACGATACAAGTACAGAGGGTAGTATTACGTGGGATGATAAGGATGAAGAAATGTATACGGAAGATAAAAATGAAGCTATTAATATAGAAGGTGGCTTTATACGTGAGAAAGAATAAGACATTGATAGTTTTATGAGTGATGACGAAGACCTTCCAGAATAGATATTTTATTCGTCAATTAAAAAAAATTTTTTTTTTTATAATGATCTGCATATTGTATCTAAACAAAATAAAAATGTGCTTGTGTATCGTTATTAGTATTTATATATTGAAATCTATAAACTTGTGAAATGTGAACTCCTTTTTCCCCTTAATCCCATATAATGGCTTCTCGAGGATTTTTTATAATACTAATTATATTTGTAATAATTATATTTTTGATTCACCAAAATAATAATAAATTTTTATACTTTAAAAATGATCCAATAAATGGACAAGAACAATCTCATCTTTTAAATAAAGATAAAGAGATTATTTATATAGATTCTTATAATATAACAGAAGAAAATTTTATAACATATTTACCGCATAGCGGATTTCACAATCAAAGAATATCAGTAGAGAATGCAATATTCTTAGCGTGGCATTTGAATCGAACGTTAATATTACCGCCATTAATGTTTTTCAATGGAATACCTCCATTTGGTATGGCACCATTTGATCAATTATCTCAAAGATTATCTCAATTAAAACCGAATCAAAATAATTTTACAGAATGTGATCTTGAAGGAAAACATTGTATTACTGCGAATTATACTTTATATCATTGGGAAGAATTAATGAGTATGAAATGGGTCAAACAACATGTAAAGATTGTTCATAGAACAGATTTTTTTGATAAAAATTTATTGAATATTCTGAATATTAAAGAACAGGAAGTTTATTATACAAAATGTGACGTAAGATATCATCATAGATATTACGATTATTTAAATTCAACAATCGGTTTGGATGAATTTGAAAAAAGAGTTGATTTAGCAAAATTGAAAAGTCGAAAAGAAAAATTATTTTATTTTGGCAGTTTATATTCGATAAGAAGAGTTGTAAGAGAATTACCTGAAAGTAAAGAATTTTGGAGTAAATTATCAAGAGAATTTATACCTGATAACCCTATTATAATTAAAATTGTTAATAATATCGTGAAAAAAATTGGAGGAGAAAGAAATTTCTTGGGGATTCACGCACGATTAGGTAACGAATTTAGAACTGATGATAATTTTAGAGGAGCAGCAAATAAAACAATTGAATCGTTTATATTAAAAATATCAAATGATTATAGAGAATATGAAAATACTTTTAATTACGGTAAAAGTACAGAAGTTGCGAAACAAATTAGACAAACTATATTAACATCAACAAAATTAATAGAAACCAATGAAACCTCCTTCTTTGAACAATGTTCTTCAAAATTTACAAATGATACTTTACCCATAATAATCTTTTTAGCTACAGATGCAAAAAGGACTCATAAGTCTCTTAAAATTTTCTTAGAAAAATTTCCCTGTATATTTATGTTAGAAGATTTCGAAGAAGATTGTAAACCATTAAATTCATTAGAAAATCCTTTAGATAACGTTAACATGTATAAACATTTAATTCCTTTAATAGATTTAATGGTAACTTCACAAGGAAGTAGATTTTATGGAACTCCATCTAGTACGTTTTCTTTATATGCTATGAGATTAAATAATTTATTAAATACTTTTGATAGTTAGTTTTCGATAGCTAATAAATGTACACATCACTTTTAATAAAACGAAAAGAGATTGGCGATTTACGATTTTTTATCGTTCATCCCGTCTTTTCATATAATTATTCTGAGAAAATATAGTAACTATTATGATAAATTCTTTTCTTTTAAAAAAAACAAAAAATTTAAGAAATGACGAAAGGATTTTCTCTAGAATTATTACAATATTTTGCGCAGGTGCTTACAGTGCATTTGTACAACATTACGTGATAAGTTCTATCAATAGCTGTATTTCAATAGGTTATTAGATCATTGTTGAATTAATCTAATCCTAGAGGCTTTGAATATTATTCCAATTACATTCTGATAGATAATTTTATTCTTTATTTTTAGAATATTTTTTTATAGATTAACTTAAGAGTATTATTTTCCTGTTTATTTTTTGTATTTTTTTTTTTAAAAAAAAGAATAAGCTCTTTTATTTGGTTTTTTGAATTGCTTAATGTACACGTTATTGAGCGGATTACATGAATACCTCACACGAAGGGAAGAATTTTACGTTATCATACTTGGACTTGATAATGCTGGTAAGACAGTAAGTATTGAAATATTGTTTTTGTTTTGTTTTATGTAACTATTTCACTTTTAATATCAATGATTCTTTTTGACAGACATTATTAGAACGAATTAAATCGATATTTTTAGGTGTAGTTGGGTTATCACCTAATAGGATTGCTCCCACGGTAGGATTAAACAGTGAGTACTTCCTTTATTTAAGGAATCTCTATTTATTAAATTAAATGTTTTTATATTTATTTTCTTATTCGCTTTTGTTAAATTAGTTGGAAAAATAGATATAAATCGAGCAAGACTGAATTTTTGGGATTTAGGAGGACAAAGAGATTTGCACGGTATTTGGGAAAAATATTATTCAGAATGTCATGCTATTGTATTTGTAGTAGATTCAACCGATAAAGAACGTATTGAAGAATGTAAAGAAATATTTGGTAAGTTATAGCGCATCTAAAAGAATTTTAGTTCGCTGTTAATAATTTTTTTATTTAATTTTTTTTTAAAAAAAAATAGAGAAGATAATTACCAATGATGACGTTGAAGGAGTTCCGATATTAATGTTGGCTAATAAACAAGATTTACCAAATTCATTAAAGGTTGAAGAGATTAAAGAAATTTTTAACAAAATTGCTTTAAAATTAGGTGCTAGAGACTCTAGAGTTTTGCCTATATCTGCATTAGAAGGGTAGGTATTAATTAGGATAAAGAAATTTTATTTTCAACATATTCAATGGTTTAAATAATTTTATTTTTTTAGGACTGGCGTGAGAGAAGCCGTAGATTGGTTATTTGTAAGAATACAAAGAAATAAGCAAAATAGACCGCCTACATTTAAGTGATTTAAAATAATCTACGTTTAAATAGTCAATCTTATTCATTAGAAAGACAGATATTTTAATTTTAAATAAGAGAATTATTTTTTTTTAATTGCGAGACATTTATAAAGTATTACTTTTTAGTATACTTTTTTCATATTCAGTATATTTAGTATATTTATAAAAGTTCATTATAGATTTCTTTTATAGGAAACAATTTATTTGTAATATATTTGAAATGGTATGTATATTTACTTTATGATGTTATTTTAATATAATTTTGTTTTGGATAAATGAAAAGTAATTAAATTACATTTTTTAATAACATGAAATCATCTGTTATTCTGAATAGTTCAAAAAATAATAAATCGTTGGTACAAGTATACCGAACTCCCTCTTTTGTCGCAATAAATAGCGGAGGGAAATTTGCTTACATTATATATATTTTTGAATATAGAGAATTCATTGCTTTATTAAATTATAATTAAAAATTTATCAATTGATCTTATTACATACTTTTTTTGTTTGTGATTTCATAAATTTAATTATCAATAGTGAGATCACGTGTCGTTTTACTAACAATCCATCCAGCAACTATTTTCCCAATAATGTCACCATGACTCAATACGAAAGCGTGTGGAGTATTTTTTTCACATAGTAACACTTTCCCTTCAGGAAACCTTTTTTTCATATCTTCATAATGTTCAAGCGGTGCCCATTTATCACCTTCACTAAAATAAAATATGAATTTGCCTAAATTTTCACGATAGAATTCTTCATCTAGCTCGCATACTGTTTCCATCTCACTACTCGCCATATATAATGTGTTTTCCACGACATGTCCGTGTAGAAGAGCCGATAATGTTATGTTTAGCATTGATTCTTTTTGCCGGGTCAAACTAGAAACCAAGAATTTGAAGAAAGTTGGCGGGATGAAATATCGTAAATTCGAAACAAATGAAGCAGCTAAACTACGTGGACGTTCGTTAAACAAGAACTGAAACCGCAAAGAATTCAACATTTATATGAGATTTAGAAGAAATTACACTAAGGATGATAAATAACTTACATTCATCATAATGCCATTAGGTGTCTTTACGATATGTTGCAAAGTAGGATATAACGAGTAAACCATTTCAATTCCATGATTTGGTCTCGCTTTCAACACCTATCAAAGTCAGAATTTAGAAGTTTTTAATTTGTTAAAATAATCTACTCATTCCTTGAAATACAAATACCTGAGCACCAATGTAAGCACCAATCGAATGTCCACAAATAATAAATTTAGGTTGTTTCTCATCTCCTTGAGAAGTGAATCTTGATTTTAATTTATCAATAAACTGAATTTTATGATCGATCTGATCTTGAAGAGAATAAAGATTTTTTAAGCCTAAATTATGTGGCCCGTAAGAGTGTCCAAGCATTGAAGCTATCATGATGATAAAGATAAGTTAACGATGTAATTTTAATAAAATCATATGATATTACCAAATACGAACCTCCAACAATGTCAATTTTCTTTCCAAGCTCATTATGAACTGTACTCAAGAATTCAACATAATAATCAATTACACCAGGATTTCCCGGGATTACAAACAAGATATAATTTTCATCATTACTTTTTGAAGGCCACCATAAAGTTTCAGTTAAATGTTGTTCATCTTGCAATATAAGTTTTAATGGTTCCCCTTCAATATAATTATCCTTTAATCGAGAAATTTCTCCAGGTTTTGGTAATTCATTAACATGAATTGGTTCTGCAATGGACATAGCGAAACTCGTTTTTCTAATTGTTCGTAAGAAATATTTATTCCGCAGTGGAGAATTATTTATAAAGAGGCGCAGAAATGTTGATAACTTAAACAAAACCATTTTTTTAAATGAAATTTGATGTGCTTTTATAATTTTTTAGGATAAATCACACGAGAGATTTTCTCGGAATTTTGTTTATCAATTTAATTACTCCGAACTTTTTTGTCCTTGCTTAACATGCTTAACATGTGTTAATTGTGAATTTCAGTACGCACTACTGATTTACTATAATAAATAGTGATATTTTCATATTTCTAGTTTTAATGGCTGGATAAAAATTATTAAATTATTAGCATTTGTTATTTAGAAATTTTTGGACTTTAAAAATATAAATTTACTATTATTTAATATATTTTATTATAATAATTCTAGTAAACTTTGATTTAATTTTCTATAGTACAGAACTACAGATATTTTGATAAATAATATCATTTCATTTTTAATTTAGTATATATATATAATATTTACATAATAGTATTGTATCACTTCTACTTTATTTTTTACAGATATATTTATCTAGTGATATTTTTTTTTCAAAATAATTTTCTATTTTTACTTAATATACTCATCTAAATTTAGTTTATTTTTTATAAATAATATAAATATATAATATCTCAATATTTTTAAAAAATTAATTAAAAAAAAATGCGTTTTTCACATCTCACGCGCGGAATAGATTCCATCCATTTCATAAACAGAAGTACCATAAACTTTCACTTGGTTCTAATAATAAAAATATTTTAAAAAAGTCTTTAAAAACAACTTTGAAAGCTAAAAATTATGTGTTTATAATGTAAATAACGCAATATAGTGAATAAAATATTGAAATTTCCTATATTTTTAAGGTGTAAATCTGACGCCGATATGGGCAAAGCTTTATTCATTTAATTGTTTCAACTGCATCATGCTTCACAATACCACATATGCGAAACTACATTTGAAAGTCTAAAAAACCAAAATACAAGGGGACAGTATCACGTGACTGTGGCGCAGCAATAACGTGACCTCACTCCTCGTTAGATCCAAAAAACTATATGCAGTAAAAGACTTGATACGAAGAATTTTATCTTCCCATATCACACTAAAGATGTCAAAAATTTTTCTGGCTGTATCTGTTCTCTTGCGCACCATACCATTATTCGCATTTTCTGGAAGTTTGTCCTTAACTTCTTTGTTAATTGTTAAGCTTTGTATGCGCTGTTTGCGTTGCGGAGGGTTGCTTTGCAAAAGTATAGCTAATCGCTCTGATAAGGCTTTTCCAAATCGAAAACAGAAACGAACTAAATCTCTATTAGTCCGATCCCCATTTTTTTCTGCATCATCAATCTCATAATATAATTTATGGAATTGATTCGAAACTTATTTCATGTCAGAACCTTCGGGAGGGGCACCAATTGATACTTTCTCTAGCTGGACGGATGGACAGCTCACAAATTATGGTTTGCGCTTTTGTGCCACTAGTAGATTTACGCGAATTATCTTTTCTTTTCCTTTTCTTGGATGCTCCATCGAAGGTAGATGAAATATAATATCTTTCTTTTTCAAGATCATCAATTGACGGGCATTTGGGACACAGCTTATTCTTATTACCAATGCATCCGAAATGAGCCTTATGTCTGCATACTCCTACATGCTTTATATCTTGCTTAAAGATAAGGAGGTATGAAGCGTAATTGTATTGTGTATGATGCCAAGAGTTCTATGGCCGAAGACGCTAAAGCAAAAGCACATGCAAATGGAATCTTCAAACCTTTTCACACGTAGATCTACTCGACAAGACACAGTTGGTTTTACACCTGGTGATCTCGGAATTGCAAGTTCCTCACCCCTTCATAACATATGCTTTTGTTGGCGTTATTCCTTTAATAAGAGGGTCCTGTGTTGCGTGTGGACCTCCTTTCACACATTTGTTCGGAAAAAAATAAAGAATAAAGGTTAATAAGTTTTCTTTCGAATGTACTGTATATGCAAAATTAATATGTCGTACAGACCTGCACGTGTGATCATTTATTTTGTCACACAATACGTGGCCCAGCAAAAAATCCATTTTATAGTTTTGTGCAAAAAAAAGTTTGCGAATTAACGTGTCTCAAAGGCGAAATTCACCTTAAACATTATGGCAAAGTGCTGTGATATTAATTATTACAAGCTTTATACATTTTGTTGAACAGATGATACCTTTAAAAGCAATTCTGAACATGACAATCCCGCATCCACCCAATAAATTGCTATATTTGGAGAAATATCAACTTTCAATAATATGCTAAATAAAACAATCACAACAACTACTGGAAATAAAATATAAAATATTCGAATAAAGTATTCTTTATTATAGAACAAACCTATCCTAACTATTTTTAATATAATAACTAGAAGTTGAATTCCATCAACAACCGCATTTAAAATAAGCATAAATATTTTGATAGATTCATCGTCGTTATGACTTTTATTTAAAACATCCATTGAGATATTAACAAGTGAAATGAGTGCAACTTTAATAATGTCGAGATTAAGTTCCTAATAAAAAGGAAGGATATAACGAAATTTACGACGAAAAAACTTCTTCGATTTAGTAAGACATCACTTAAATAGATATAAGATTAAGTATATATACACTTTTTTCACGCTCCTCACGAATCGTTTCCAAATACAATGCTTTCAAACTTTCGTCAGCCAATCTGTCATATTTGGTTTTCTGCCATGAAGGCAAAGTCTTGTATGTCATATTATCATTTTCATTAGTAGCGGTAACCGTAAGACCTGATCATCATAAAGAACAAAAAAGGTTTAGTCGTAGCGTTACATAATATTAATCTACGTTCGAGTTGACCAATCATTACGACGCAAAGGCTTACCTTGACGTTCATCTAAATTGGGTTAGATTATCAAAAAAAAAAAAGATTTTGTCTTAGCGTCACGGACAATAATAATGGTAAATATTTTATAAATTATTCGATAACTTACCACTATGTAATAAATTCCATATAACTCCTTTTTCTTCTTCTTCTGATTTGCAACTTGCAAGAGCCAAGAGTAATTGTTCTCTTATTTCTTTACTTCTAACTAGATAACTTTTGATTTTAATAATTTCTTCTTGTTCAAGACCAAGTTTATTTATCCTTTCGTAAATATCGGACATTTGTTTTTATTGCAAGAAGTAAAGTAGAAACGATTTCCTAGTTTTATATTAGACTTATTGAATATATATATGATTTGTAATACAATAAACTTTTATTAAACTTCAGAACGCGCTGTAAGTCTGAATAAGTCTAATAAATCTTATTAAACTTGATTGATATTAATTGAGAACGCGTTTTTTTTAAGTCCGAACTTTACATTGTATCATTGTACCATCAGTTGATAAAATACATTTATTTTTGATCTAACCCTATCTAATATCATTAAAAAATTTGAGTCATCGTGAAATATTTTGATTACTGTATATACAAATTAAATTTTGCCATTTTGCGTTATTCATATATAATAATTTTTCCGATTTCACACAAACTTTATTATTCAGAAATGAAAGATATTAAAGATATTAGAGAAGTGAATGAAATATATGATGCTATCAAAGAGGGAGGGAGTACGCAGATCCTAGACCATTTAATGCGAGTCCCAGCATCAAGTTAACTTCTATTGCTAATTACGTGATTCTTACCCTCACAGTCTTTTACTATACTAGATTTCCGAAATAAATTATCCCACACATATTTACAGAATTTTTGTCTATCTATATCTCTCTCAAACACAGACTATATAAAACATTAGAGAACTCTGAAATTAAGAAATTTCGAACCTATAGTATAATTACGGAAGTATTAGCAACTGAGGTAAAAAAAAATAATACAATATCGATTTACACTTACCATCACGATTCATTTTCACATAATTCCATTCCGCCTCATACACAAGCTGCGCAAAGTTTTAAGAATTCGGCACGTGAAGATACTTACATAAGATAAATTTTTTGCTGTGCCGTTGCATGTGACGAGATTCATGTGAATAGTTTCACTGCGTCTATTGTACGCGTGATGATTGTCTAAGATTTTCTCGGCGAAGATCAGAATGCCGATACATAGCAAGAAGAGTAATATATCCGGTTTATTTTGGAACATCTATAGAGACAGGAAAATCGATTAACATCAAGAAGCTAACCGAGCAATAAAATCAACATACCTTATTATTGTTTTGCGTAATACAGGAGTTCGTTTGATCAAGGATATTAACGATGTAAATAATGGTATGTTAGATTGGTTTTGATTTTTTCGTTTTACTTGCACAAGGCGGATAAAAGGATTCACTAACCAGGTCATCACATTTTTATATAATTCACAGAATCGATTTTGTTATACGCTTTCGGGGAAATTACGTTAATATGATCGCATCACGAAAATCTGATCAATGGACTCTCCTTAATTTAACAATAAAAGAATTTAACGCTATCCATATGTAAAGATCATCAAGGGGTCCTTTTACAATAATATACGTAATAATTTTGAGAATATGCGAGAAAGTTTGAGAATAAAAGTCTCTGGATCCTCGCTGGCAATTTTAATTTGCCAATCCAGATTTCCTAAATTAGCCTGTATTAACATGCATATACGCTTGAGCATAAAAAATTAGTATGTACGGTCTAAAAATTATTACCAATCGCCACGAGAAAAATATTTGACTCTTCACACTTCCAACCAATAGAAGCGGGATCTACCGCTAATTATGTGATAATGTATTACTGCGCATAGCATATTCTGCGGACAATGACGCCTTACTGTGCATGATATTCGGAAAAAAAAAGAAATATACGATTTTTCGCATTTTCTAAAGAAAACCTTCGCCCAATAATTCTTCTAGGCAGTTACCGTCACTGACTGAGGTGCGGGATCATCAAAATATGCCAATTCTTCCTCGATAGCTTCCGAGAGCATTTTATCGAAATCGTCCTCTTCATAGGCAGGCTTAGTTAGTGTTTTATCCTCCAACTTCGCTAATCGAGCCATTTCTTCACGCGTGAGCCTTTCATGAAATTCGTGATCATACTCATCATCGGAGTCGGAGTCATCGGATTTGAAATATACATCGGAATCAGATTTATTGGCATCGGAGTCATCGGATTTGAAATATACATCAGAATCAAATTTATTGGCGTTGGAGTCGGATTCGTTAGCGTCGGAGTCATCTGAGTTAGAGTCATGAGCTGAAGTAGTAGCTTATGGTCGAGGAGATTTCATTCACATGACTAGCGATCATTTTCGAATTGACTTGTTCTATAATATAATCGATTTGAGGATTAGTGAGCCTTGAAATTTTGTCAGCGCTACAGGTGACCCGTTGAACCATATATCCCGTATACCTTTAATCTTTTTCAGAGTTACAGAGTCATATATACCCAAATAATTAATAATTTATTGATTTTTCTCGCTTTACAGGTCATTACTTGTAAATATCCAATCGAAATGTCTGTAAGGTATGGTTTCATTTCATTATAGATCCGCTTTCTTGCAGTCAGATCCGTAAGTTTCTTATCATTAGACCTAAGCTCCACAACTTTATCTTTGAACCTTTCGGAGAATAAACACCATAACGTAATCTCTGATCGCTTTGCTACGATCGTTTTATTTCTTGCAACATTCGCCTGGTAGAATGAATTGGCAAGTTTTTTGATGCTTATTGATCCGGGAACTATGGTTTTGGGAGAAGAAAACTTCATAGTCTGGAGTGGATCATCAGATGAGAGTAGCTCTTCCAACAAATCTTGTACAAATTCGGTTACTATACTCGAGGAAGCCTGAACATTCCCACCATTCTTGGTCGGTAGGATGTGCCCTGGTAAGCTACCAGAAGAATTTTCTTTCTCCGATCTTTCCGTCTCTACATTTCTATCTATCTCCGGGCAGACGCTGGGAGGAATATTGGCAATTTCTTCCTCCGGTTTCTCATGTGATAATTTTAACATTGTTAAGGGTTTTTATATCGCGTGATAAGTTTGGATCTACTACAGAGGGAGCAATATCTTTCTGATCATGATCATGATCTTGATCGAGAGGCGCTGTGTATGAGATATCTGTAATTACAACCATTTCGCAAGATAAATCTGAGGATTACTTCCATCAATGATTCGACTCCCTAGCCCATCTGGCACCTCAATATTATTAACAATTTCTGATACATAAGTCGGAGATGTTGTCCTGGTTAGCTGATTCACGTTGGAGTTTCTTCTCCTTATTGCGTCGCCTAATATCTTCACCAATGCTTTTCTTATTTACGTCGACCAAGAAAGCGTCCATCTCCTTATCCTCATTTGTTTTGCAAACATGGTCTACACCCGAATTGAAGTTAGAAGAATTGTTATTAGTATTATCATCTTGCGAATGCTTCTGTTCCAATGTAGGAACTCTATCAGTGGTATCCGTCTTATTTTTCTCTAGAACCTCAATTCTATGGAGGTGTTAATTTTGGATCATAATTCCAGGTTGATGTGTATGGATTAACTGCATTAGGACCTGTATCGGTACATTTATGGTCATTAACAAATTTAGGATCATGTAAAATACGCACATGGCCACTGTAATAAATGCCACCAGCAAAATCAGTATAATCAAAGGTAAAGTGGCCAAGTGCGTCTGTATACATTCCATCATTTTTAAATGAATTGGGGGCAAAAGTCGTAATACTGATTTGGCTCGATGAAAATGTCGCATTTTGAACCTCAGCTCCAGATGAAAAAAACTCTCCAGCAGGATGACATCCAAAAGTTTTTTTAACATGTGTGAGGAAAAGTGTAAGAAATAAAATAATAATGTAATTATGATTCATGATGAATTGTGCCATTGCCGTGTAAGAAAATGGACTTATTTATATCTCTTGCTCAAGAAAATATTAAATTAGGATTTTCACCTGGCTTCTATTTTCGTTTCATTCTATTATTACTTTTTAGAATCTTAACCGGAGGGAATTAACCGGGTAAGGAATTACGTTAATTCTGGCACAATCCAGTTTTGAAGCTTGACTAGGAATTATGTATTCTGTCTCACCGATTAATTTCCCCGGTTAAATGTAGTTATTCTCTTACCTTTTAAACTGTCAATGGTTATCATTTCAAATTAACTTAAACTTATTACTTAATATTATTTAATATAAATATTTTATGATTTAAATAATGGCATTATCTATCTTTTCAAGTTTATACAATAAATCAATGATAAAAGAATCTTCAAAAAACAAGAAAAAAGAAAAAAAGCATGTTACTAATTTAGCACTTATTATACTGTTACGTAATTAACCCTATAAAAAATTTTATCCGTTATTTCTGTAAACATGAGCCTTTCACGGGTCCATTCACGGAAAATGTAAATAATTCGATAAATTCCGCGATATAATTCTGGAAATATGAGCCTTTTACGGGAAAAAGATGGAATATAAAAAACGGATTAACTTTTTTTACAGGGTAAGATCGATATATTTCTTTATATTCATTATGTTTTATCCGTTTTATGGATCAATACCGAAATGACTGATGATCTTGTAAGGGAAAAAATTATTACTGTAATTGGCAAATGTATTAATGTGGTACTATGATCTTGCAGTGTATGATCGATCAACATTTATTAAATCTTTAAAGCATGAACATATCGGCTGATTGGAAAAATCAATTAATATTTAAGCTCAGTTGATGGGTTCATTATATAACTGATGGGTTACTTATTGTCATTAGCGTATAAAATTATGGGAGGCTTTTCTGATTAGCCGATATGATATTTATAAAATATAAAATTTAATTATTATTAAATTATTATCAAGTTTCAATTTACGCTCCTTTTATTATTTTTAATTCGCTACATGCTATGAATTTTTATTTATTCTTCACATGGTGGAAATATGAAAGTAAAGATTTTAGGTTACTACATTTATCTATTTAATTATTACACGGCCCTATAGGACCATCATGCACATGTTGTACCAATATTAATGATTGAATTCTAAATTTGTGAAACACAATGATTTTATATTACATGGTGTAAAACTAATTAGTTATATTAATTTGATATTAAAATCTGAATCTATAAAGCTTATGAAGTTTTAATTTCATTTCTGGTCCGGATTGTGGCGCTTAATAATGATCTGATGTGGCGCGAATACCATTATTAAGTCTTTTGCAGTGAAATTATCCAAAACTATTATATAATAAGAGATTCAGTAAACACAGTATTTGCGGAATTTACGGGATTTACGAGATTATGAGATTACTAGAGAAAATATTTGGCTGTTTAAAGACACAAGCTGGATTATTCTTTTTACCGATTACAGCGATTTTTTCTTAACTTAATTAAACTCTCTCATATTGAGGTAGATTGCAGATGATTGTACGGATTTATATAATATAATCACGATTTCTGGTGGTTTCTGGTATGGGTCAATATTTAGTTACAGTCGCTCACTTCTTGCTCAAACGACGCAAACCTATTGAGAAGACAAACCATTATATTGTTAACATATGAACAAGTTAAAAAAAGAAGGCACACGGTCTTCTTTGATGTGTCATCTGTCCGTATCATTGTTCCTTAATTGATATATTAATTGCCATTAATTGTTATAATTTATAAACAGAGTTAATAAATTTTATATCGAGCATACGAATAGCATTTATGAACTGAGATGGATACCTCCAATTAATATATGTGCGAGTAAGTTATCTTTATAAAAACTTTGTAGTTTAACGGCATAGTTATTAATAATATCATTGATTTTATCAAATACTTTTTATATTAAATACATGTTTTAAATTGTATATTCACCTGATCTCAACATCATTATAAATTTGCAATCTATCTTTATATATTAAATTCTGATAAATAGACTACTTTCAGTACGTTCTTTTGCAAGTCTTATCGTCGGTATTATTACTTATAAAATATTCATAGTTATTATGATATACGATCTTTCATGGAGTCCAGGTATAATAGCAATTTTATTATACATTAAGGGAATGTTTCTCATCTCATGCCGTGTTTAATGCCATTTGATCAATTTATAAATAATTATTTTCATAACAAAAAAAATCCAGGAAAAAAAATTTGGGTACCAAAAGATAAAAGCGTAAGAAATTACTCTTTGGCCTGTTTCAGTATTTATCATTCATTATTATTATAATCAGGAGGAAAAAATCAACCCATTTTTAGAAGTTCCATTATTAGTTAGCAGTTTATTTATTAGTTATATTTTAATTACTTTAACGAAAGATTGGTTATTCTTTCTTATCTGAAGACAATTGCAGAATCAATGCAATATCTTATCTATCGTATTTTTTCTTTCTTCCTGACTTTGAACTTAATTATGTAATATTAGGGTTTCATGGTTTGAGGCGTAATTCCCATGTGTAATTTATCATGTGACTCAGTTAGTGCTCACGGAATTATCCCCGAGTATTTATTTATTATATGTGTAATGTCGTCATTTAAATAATTAGTAGTCTTGTATTACGTTACTTTTTTTTATAAAAACTTTGAGAACCAAGTTTAGTCTAGTTAATCCAACTCTTATTTGTAACAGATATTAAAAATCAGGATGTTATTAATTATGTTTCAAAGGTATGCCGTTTAGTAATATGAAATTTTTATTTTGAAGGAACTGTACAGTATTTTCAAGCATTATAAAAGACAAAAGGGCAATTTACTTTAATCTTGAGAAAGTTCTTCAATACTTTAGATCATTATAATAACTTTACAAATCAACCTTTATCAAATATACGCAGTCCTTGTCCTACGTGACGCAGTATACCAGGTCAGGGAATCTTTCTGCTATTTTTGGTATCTCTTCATCCAATTCGCAACATGATTACTAATCCCTCTTAAAGATCATTCTAACTTCTTCAACAATTTCTTTTCCATATGCGAATTACAAAACCGGTTTCAATAAGGTTACACTTCTCCAATCGTTGTTGTAAACTCTCAAACTTAAATAATTTTCGTAATTATTAAGAAGGCTTTTTTTTATTTTTGTTACATTGGTGATTATATTTAACCATTTTTATAAATTTTGTATTATACTCCTCAAAATAAATAAATAAATAAATAATAACACTGAATTTAATTTTGACTTCAGAATTATCGGCTCAAACCCCTTAAAAGAATACAGATTAAATAAACCGGTAAAATCTCGAAATATTCATTTACTTAGATTGTGTTTATATCACGTTGCATTGTATCCCGTTAATATCTTAGGGATTTTATTCCGAAATTGAAAATAGGGTTAGACTATTTAATTAAACGATTAATAACAGATAATATATTCCTTTTTGGTAAAACAGTTACAGTAACAATTTAAATCTAAGTTTGTATATCCATGTTGATCTTCTAAAAAATCTGCCAAACAATGGTTGTTTCAGGTTCGTTATGCCCTATTCTGTAAAGCCTTTTTATTCGGTTTAGCAAAAAAAGAAACTAGAAATTCTATAATCTCAAACTCAATGGGGATTGTTTATTACACAACGTTGCGGACAATAAATGGCGTATACTTCGTTACACTTTTTTTATCTCGTACACATATTTATTTATAAAGATGAAAATTCTTTTTTTTTTTCATTAACTGAAAATTATTTGAAAAAAAAAAAAATATGAAACCAAGACAAGTACTAGAAATTTTTGCAGCGGCTCAAAGAAGAACTGAACCAAAATCATTAGTTATATTAAGAGCTTTTATAGCTATTTTATTCTTTATTATACTTATTTGTTATATGTTCGTTCAAATTGGTAATTTTACGTATATATTTACGAATTATTAAAATTCTTTTGATCATTTAATAATATCTAACTTTTTATTTGAATATAGAGGACGTTCGATTAGATACACCTATATTTTCTATCGTACAAAGTCATGAAGAAGAAAAAGTTATACCAATGCCAAGTATGTTTTATGTATGTTTTATGTCTATTTCACGTATTTATAAATTTATTTTAAATATCTTTGATTTTTTAAATAGATGTATACTTCGCTTATGATCATCAATTCACAATATCGTGTCAAATTAATGGCCGTATGTTGATTTTTTTTTAAAAAGTATTCTTTTTATAAACATGATCGTTAATGAATTTATTTCTTTTTTTCTTATAAAGGTATAACTAAAATATCACAAGAAGTTTGTCTAACACATATACAACAACCAGTATTATCATCAACTGACGACCAAACATATAAAGGAACATTTAAATCAAATGGATTAAAATTTATAAGAAGTGATATTGAAAAAATTGATTTTATCTTTACAGTAAATAATCTTAGTAATGAAATTCTAGCAGATGATTTAGGTATTGAAATACGAATTTTTGATTCTGGTAAGTGTAATATAAAAAAAACTACTCCAAATATGTTTTTTCGCAATTTTTAAAATTAATTTTCTTCAAAGAAGCTCAAGATCCTTTAGATAAGTTTAAGGAAACTAATATACACGTTGCTGATATTTTCTCATCTTTAATTGATTTAAATTTATATCATTTATTCTCTCAACAGGTAATATTTTTATATATAAAAAAGGTCATTTTAAATATTTATATTACATTATTTATTTATTTATTTATTTATTTTTTAAAGCATCATACAGTGGAATTAGGAAGAACTAAAAGAAAAATAGCAAAGGAATTTTGGTGGAATATTTTAGGAATACCCCCTACTTTTGTAGATGAAACACATATAAATTCTCATTTAGAAGTTCATCCATTACTTGGCGCTCCAGCAAATTCTTATTCTAAATTGACTTTTGTAATGAGAACTTGGAGAGTTCCATTAGAAAAAGAACAAAAGTAAATAGTAAAATACGATTGTACTTTTAATATTTTTTTTTTTTTTTTTTTTTTAAAAAAAAAAAGTGTTATTAATTGAAAATTATTATTATTAATTTATTTTTCTTAGAGCGAAAACGGTAATTTATCATTATTAATTATTTATTTTTAAATTAGAGTTTGTATCCGTTATTCGTTAAAAAAATGAATATCCGTGGATATTCGGGGATACCCGGATTGGACGGATACAGAATTCTGGACATCCGGATAATCCGACGGATATCCGGATATTATCCGTTAAGAGTAACTCGGACCAATTTTATAATGCCAGCCGGAATTATGCTAAAATATTTCCTTTTTTAGAAACATAATGGAATATCAAGGCGGAATTATAAATTGGCCTGAATTAATCTGGATATCCGAATTATATCCGGATAAACTATCTGAATATCCGGATAAATTATCTGAATATCCGGATAAACGGATAAAAATCGGATATCCGGATGGTCAGAAATTATAAACTAAAAGAATCGATCTAACGAAAAAAATTGTTTAATTTAGTTATTTGACACAGTTGGTCAAATTGCTGGTGTAGCAGGAACATTATCACTATTATATGCATTCTTGTTCGGTAAATGTCATTTCTTTCAAATATATATATATATATGTATACATATATACTAACTATAATTATTCGGTTTTAGGTGCTGGTCCAAGTGCCATCCAAACTTGGGGTGTCGTACAAAAGATGAAATGTTTTGGTATTAAAAGAGGTGTAAGAAAACATATAAATCGTCGTTATCCAAGATTACCATTTATTCATACATCGGAAGACAATGAGATTATAAAAGGTAAAGATTATGATGATGTTATTGAAAGATTAGATGCTGTTGAAAGATTTCTTAAAGAATATGTTGTCGATGCTGACTTTTTAGCACAAATAGAAAAGTTAGATAATGAAAATAAAAATAAAACTTAATTATTGGGAGGTATAAAAACTAAAAATATCGTTAAATCAACATCAAAAATGATATAAATCCTGAGCATATTACTGTAATATACATATATATATATATAAAACGTAATATAACAAAATAAAGTTATTCTTTTAGACTGTACGATAATAGTGTCGCATTTCGTATGACAACTATGACATTGTTATATCGTTTGATAAAAGGAGTGGAATGTGCTTTACATTATTAAAAGGTGTTTAATTGACGTTACAATTGATTTATTGGATATTTAATTTGAAAAATGATTTGGATCATTCTAACATTCTAATATATAAATTGTCAATATAAATCACATGCTAACCGCGCAGTGCCAGTAAAGAGTGTTCCGGGTTTAGCCTAGATAAATCACGTGATACATGTTACATTTTTAATTTGTAGTTCTCATATACGAAAATCAAAAACCTTAAATTAAAACCTTGAAATTTTGATACTGTTCTTTAACGGTATATTCTCTAAAATTTTAATTTTATATAAAATGATAATCCAATTTGAGTAATAATATTATTCTTGAATTTTTTAAATCTTTTAAAATGTAAAAATTTTAACTTTTAGAATATTAATTATGACAGAAACATGGAAAAAAAATAACAAAAATAACCCTCATAACAGATTAACATGTCGCAAAGATGATCATTCTGGTTATACATATGACTACACAACCCTAATAAGCTTATAATTATAACGTGACATCCCATAATTTCAAACTTTTCAGATTTTTGTATAAATAGAAGGACTCCTTTGTTTATGATTTCACCAATTACATTTTGTGTAATAAAATGTAATAAAACTTTAAATTTTCCAAAAAAAAAAACGGTTATTTTTTTTTAAATAATTAAGTAGTCAGTTTTTCTTCCCAATTTATTGGGAAGTTTTTTTAATTTTTAGCGGGTTGGAGTGAAAGTGGGTTAAAAATAAAAAAAGGATGTAGTTTTAAATTAAATTCTTAAAATACAGTCACTGAATATGTTATTAATTACATTTTATCGTACAGCACAAAAACATGTAACAAAAAGCATGTTATTATTTCTCAATTAAGAAATACAAATGTACTTCATTAATAAAAGATCCTATGTTTTAAACCTAAAACACTTTTGTATTTTTTTTTAATGATTAAGAACTAATGTACAAAAATTTAACAAGACAAAATAAAAATCTTGTTATTATGACCTTTTCAATCGCATATACAATCGATTTGCCGTGCAATAAGTAGTATTCTAAAATTTTTCGATAAAATTATAAAAAAAAAAGGTTTACTCATTAAAGGAAAATAATCATATTACCATTACATGTTTATCTATAACAATCCAATTAGGATTTTATTGTGCAGCAGTAAAAACAATTTTAAATATTCGAAACGAAGGACGATATTTTGTTCTATAAGGGGAGAATTTGGCTATATGTTATATTTTGCGGATCCTTCTGCAAGTTTACTATCATTATATTAACGAACTGAACGAAAGTTAGAATAATCAATTAATAATCAAAAATATATTTTTTTTTTATTCTATAATTAATTACTAATTGGTTTGATACATTCATCTTGATAATAAATAAAACGAATTATGCAATTAGTAGAAAAAATTTTACGCCACTCCCAATAATACTATTTTTTTTTTTTTTTTGAAAGTGTTGAACCCCCATTCTGTTATTTGCATGCGCCAATTATAACCAAATGGCTTCAAAAAAGAGGTGGTAAAGACAATGAGATTACAAAAGATGATATTGTAATTGATTAGTATGATGAAATTAGATGCCGTTGAAAGATATGCTACCAGTGTTGACTTTTTAGCACAAATAGAAAAGTTAGACTAGGGAAACGGCAACCGTTACGAAGTCCGGAGTTTGTCACGTTGGAAATGGTACAATAATGTGAAAGGACAAACAAAGGAAAAAAAGCAAACTGATATATTTAACTTACTTTATTTTGATTCACTAATTAATTCGCATTTGTTGTAAATTTGTACAAAAATAATTTATTTTGTTTCATATTTGTTATAAAATTTTAAAAAAACAATAAACTTTTACATCAAGAATTTTGAATGGAACAAAAAATATTTATTGATCAAAAAGTTAAAAATATAACACGAAAGAGGTAGACGATAGACCAACACATGGATTAAGAGATATTTCCATAGCACATTTTTAATGTATGAAGAAACCAATTAGTATATATCGACTCAAAGGACAGGACAAGCGGGCGGACAATGGGACATTTTTGGATCACCTCATTTAAAACATATATAATCCTTTGCTACGCTCCGGACTAATAATGAAAATAAAATAGTTCCTAGTTATTTGGAGGTGTAAAAATATCGTTAAATCTACATCAAAAATATATACAAGACATAGTACAACAAAACAAAGTTATGGCTTCAGATTTCTTTTAACTATACATGTACGATAATAGCGTCGCATTTCGTATGACAAACTATGACATTTGTGATATATTTTGTATTCAGAATTGATGATTAGGATAATTCAATTTGAAGTTTCAATAGAATTTTATTGAATATTGAAAGGTGAAAAAAAGATGGTGTTTATTCTTAATTTCTAATATATAAAATTGTCAATATAAATTTCGCGAAGTGTTCATAAATCACACAACATACGTGAGACATAGCATTTTGTAAGTTCGCAAAAAGGTCCCCTCGGCTTTTCGTAGTTCTCATACCAGAATCATATGTTAACTATAGAAAACCACATATTCTATGAGTTTCTTAAATTAAAATCTTGAAACCTTGGGATCCTTTTTTTTAAACCAACTACAGTCAAACCTTTATATAACGATATGTCGGGACATATATGAAATTTTTTAGGAAATATCGTTATATCAAAGTTATACCGATATTTATATGTCCTCACATATAGTGGGAAAATAAAATTTTATCGGTATATTAAGTTTTTAATAGTATATCGGTATATCGAATATCGGTATATCGAGGTTAGACTGTATCTAAAAAGAAATTATTTATGATATATTATTCATGCTTTTAATTTTATAGTCAAATTTGAATATAATATTATTCTTGAATTTTTAAATCTTTCAAAATGCTTATTAGGACCTAATGTTTGGAAAAAAGAACAATAGATATTTTAAAATACCATTGTACTGTAACAGATTAACAAAAAGATCATTCTGATTATAATTATAACCAACAATGACTACGCAGCTAATAAGCTTATAACTACAACGGGACACCCCATAATTTTAAACATTTTAGATTTCTGTATAAATAAAAGGACTCTTTTGTTAAGATTTTTACTCAGTCAAAATGTGAAAGTCAATCTTAAAAAAAAAACGGTTATTTTTTATAAAAGAAAAAATAATCAGTTTTTCTTCCCAACTGGGAGGGTAAAGATTCTTGTTTAGTATCTTCCCGACCGGGAAAGTTTTTTTAATTTTTAGCGGGTTGGAGTGAAAAGTGAGTTAAAAATAAAAAGGATACAGGTTAAAGTTAAAGTGCTTAAAGTACAGTCACTGAATGATGTATTACGTTTTATTGTAAAGTACAAAAACATGTAACAAAAGATTATTATTGTTTCTCAATTAAGAAATACAAATGTACGTCATTAGTCAAAATCCTTTGTTTTAAACCTAAAAAACATTTTGTAATTTTTTTTTTAAAGACAAAGAACTTGGTGTACAAATGTTTAACAAAATAATAATCCTGTTATTATGACTTTTTTTAGATAAATATTATTTTCACTGTACTGTAATAGATTAACAAATCGCAAAGATCGTTCTTGTTATACTACTGCATAAATAAAAATTCCACTAAGTTTATAACGTAACATCCCATAATTTCAAACTTTTCAGATTTTTGTATAAATAGAAGGACTCTTTTGTTGAAGATTTCGCCAATTCAAAATGTAATATTTAAATAAATTAAAAAAAAACGGTTATTTTTTATAAAAGAAAAAATAATCAGTTTTTCTTCCCAACTGGGAGGGTAAAGATTCTTGTTTAGTATCTTCCCGACCGGGAAAGTTTTTTTAATTTTTAGCGGGTTGGAGTGAAAAGTGAGTTAAAAATAAAAAGGATACAGGTTAAAGTTAAAGTGCTTAAAGTACAGTCACTGAATGATGTATTACGTTTTATTGTAAAGTACAAAAACATGTAACAAAAGATTATTATTGTTTCTCAATTAAGAAATACAAATGTACGTCATTAGTCAAAATCCTTTGTTTTAAACCTAAAAAACATTTTGTAATTTTTTTTTTAAAGACAAAGAACTTGGTGTACAAATGTTTAACAAAATAATAATCCTGTTATTATGACTTTTTTTAGATAAATATTATTTTCACTGTACTGTAATAGATTAACAAATCGCAAAGATCGTTCTTGTTATACTACTGCATAAATAAAAATTCCACTAAGTTTATAACGTAACATCCCATAATTTCAAACTTTTCAGATTTTTGTATAAATAGAAGGACTCTTTTGTTGAAGATTTCGCCAATTCAAAATGTAATATTTAAATAAATTAAAAAAAAACGGTTATTTTTTATAAAAGAAAAAATAATCAGTTTTTCTTCCCAACTGGGAGGGTAAAGATTCTTGTTTAGTATCTTCCCGACCGGGAAAGTTTTTTTAATTTTTAGCGGGTTGGAGTGAAAAGTGAGTTAAAAATAAAAAGGATACAGGTTAAAGTTAAAGTGCTTAAAGTACAGTCACTGAATGATGTATTACGTTTTATTGTAAAGTACAAAAACATGTAACAAAAGATTATTATTGTTTCTCAATTAAGAAATACAAATGTACATCATTAATAAAAGATCCTTTGTTTTAAAACCTAAAACACTTTTGTATTTTTTTAAAAAATTAAGAACTTAGTGTACAAAAGTTTAACAAGACAAAAATAAAAATCTTGTTATTATGACTTTTCAATCGCATATACAATCTAAATTGTGAGTTGCAGTGCAATAAGTATCCTTATACTACCTAAAATTTTTCGATAAAATTATAAAAAAAAAAAATTTACTCAGGCTATAACAATCCAATTAGGATTAATATAATAA